ATAGATAATGGATGGATTTGGCCCGCGGGCCTTGAGTTTGACACATGTGCTCTAAGTCATTGACATTAAACTGTTGCAGTTTTGAACAGAGCTCAAGTGTGTTTTTCAGTCCTGAATACGTCATATGTCTCAAAAATGCCAGAAAAAAATAACACAAGTTGAAAAGTGTTAAATTGCGACCCTGGCTGACAAACTGGATGTCGGTTCTGTTGCCACCTCCTCTTGAAATGACATCGTAGCTGTTGGAGAATCTCCACCATAATATTTGGTTGCTCTCCTTCATTTCTGATTTGTCGTTCTAAAAAACAAAAAAACAAACACACACAAAGCAGTATGTAATGTTTACCAGTTTTTCTCGGTGAGAATGGTGTGTGACAGCTGACAGCGGGGCATGGCCAGTATTTGGCTGCGGAGTTTTGAGACCATGGTGGAGAAGGACGGGTGTCCTCTGTAGCCAGGGAGCAGAGAGAAGAGGGGGTACGTTCCTGAGCCTAAAAATCATACAAACATTATTATGTATCACAAACAATATATAAAAGGGCACTTGAGTGTTATCTTAAGAGGAAAAAAAAAATCCTCTTCAACCTGCTTTGGTTAGATTATCCTCCCCATCGTTCTCCTGCACTGGGAGCAAGAACATGTTGACCTCGGGTGCCAGATAGTCCTGCCCCAGGCCTGGGAAGATATTGCAGTCTAGCATGGACAGAGTACCTGAACACAAACAGTGTGAGAATTTGTGGTAAGTACTTTGTTAATACAACTGCCAAACCAAATACAGCAAGAAAGAACCATTTGGAATAACCTGCTTTTCTGCATGAACTTATCTAAACCTGACCACTGTCACAATAAAAAGACCTGCTCAAGCAGATAGCACGTAAACAAATATTGCTTTTTTAGGCATGACAGTGCCCTATAATGAAGGATAGATGAAAATTACTTTAGTTTTTGGCCAAATCAAAGTGAAATTAATCTGAAGCAAACCAGGAACAAGCAAAAAATATATATTTATGCACTTTTTTGCATCACCAGCTGAATGCATGCAGGCTCCCATGGCAACGCAACACATCCAGTTTACGTTACTGTAACTGCACGACTTCGTTCAGTGGCATCACTAACGTACAGCTCAACAGGTTTGCATCTATAATGTTTCCTTCAGCTGAGAATCTGTATCACTTATACAACAACATGATCCGGAGTAGAACTGGTGAGGAGGCAGCGCTTCTTACAGCCCATTTAAATCCCAAATTCTGAATGAAATGTTCTTTTCCGAAAACATGTTGAGGTTAACTGGCGATTCTAAATTGTCTGTAGGTGTGAATGTGAGTGTGCTTGGTTGTCTGTCTCTAAGTGTAGCCCTGTGATAGACTGGTGACCTGTCCAGGGTGTCCCCTGCCTTCACCCTCAATCAGCTGGGATAGACTCCAGCCCCCCACAACCCTAGTGAGGATTAAGTGGTGTATAGATAATGGATGGATGGAAGTACATTTATTATTATTCAAACCTGACTCCCAACGCATCAGTACCATCTGCCACAATGAACAACCAAGTCACTCCCTCTTTCCTATTGGAGAATACAAAAACTTGGCTCAGTGTCACGATGGGTGATCTCCTGCCAGGCTGTGACGAAAAACAAAAAAACCAGGAAACCAGAGGACTTCAATCTAAACTACAGAAACCCAGAAGCAACAAAAACTTGTGACTCTGTCCATTCCATTCCAAACCTCATGACCCAGCTGAAGCTGAGCAAAACAGAAGCACCTCTGTATGAGATGGAAATCCAGGGACAAATGATGAGCACCTAAAAGAAGAAAACACATCCACGGGACAAACTGAGAAGCTAAGAAGAGCAATGTGAGAACCACAGACTGTCGCCAACCAGCTGACAAAGTCTACAAGCACAGTCAGAGACGGCAAAGCAGAAAGACCTGAACAAGTTGAAACCTTCAAGAACCAAATGAAAGAAGAGCCCCAGGGCAAGAACAGTCGTGCCAAAACTGTAGTGAACCGGCAACTTGGATGCAATTAAATGCATCCCAAATCTAAGACCTGAGGCTCACCCAAGACCATTTTTTAAACCTCAAGCAAGAACACAAAGCTGACAAGGAGCAACACATGGTGAAGTAGACATATTGAAGGAAGTCCTTGAGCTATTGCTGGACTATCACTTGTAGTCACTGCCCCTGACCCGAAACTGCATCGACGATCAGTAAGCCAAGATGCCTGGTGCGGAATGAGAAGCTCACCAGTGCGATGTGCTGCAAAGCTGACGCCCAAAAGATGTCTCCACTAACCCAAGAAGAAGCAACTCAAACAATGGAGCAAATGATCAACAATCAAACAATCAAACGATATATCAAGCAGGACAGAATTGGAACTCCTCAAGCCGACTACGGCCATATTTTTAAAAATCCTACTTTTCTTCAGAAACGAAGAAGAGACAGAAGAAGACAAAGAACCTTGATTAACTAGAGAGGCCTCAGTAGAGGGACATGGTTGCCCAATGCATGCATGTTTACCTGACTCTGTGTTTTATTGTGTACCTACTTGAGGATGAACTTGCCTTAATTTTGCCTTAAAATGAGTCATAATGTAACAAGAGCTTAGTCTGTCATGTAACACAGATAATGTGCATGGAGGGGAAGAGTTTCGCTGTAATTTACGCCTCCAGCTGAGCACCTAAGATGTATGACCTTGAGCTGACATTGACCTTCCCTCCAAGGTCAAATGTCACATCACCAATATGGGCTCCTATCTGATTGCAGTAAGAAACTATGTGTTTATGGTACACCTTTTCCAAGTATTAATGCATGTAAAATTTGTGATAATTTAAGACCTTCAGTGTGACCTTTGTCTAAATTTCATATGTTACATCACCAGTTTATAGGCCTCAGATGCCTTCCTACGCTAGTATACTAAACTTACATCTTTTTGTGCATCTTTAGTCATACACAGCTTTTTTGGTCAATGCGACCTTTGACCTCTGTAGCGGTCACCAATGCATACATCGACCCCAAAATCTAATCACCCCGAGAAGGGACCGTACCGAGGTCATGTATGAAGTTTCAGGTTCAAACTCCCGTCCAGTAAAGTGCTAGACTGTTAACATACAAAAAAAACAAAAAAAACATGCATGCACAAAAACACACGGGCACGATTACTCTATAGTTGCCCATCGATGGGGCAATGGGGCAACTACAATAAAAAACTTTGAGTCACTGCTTGGGTAACTACATGACCTGGCCATAAGGCTTCATAATCAACATAAGAAGATTCCTGAGAAGCAAACTGAGACAACAGTCTTATGCAATACAAGCCACGACTCAGACTGCCTGTACAACCTTGCAGATGTAACATAGGATGGAGAAATTAATCCGCCGCAGTGACCATAGTCTTAGAAATCCAACATTACTCAATCTACGATACCAGGCCACCAGGACCAGGACTAAAGAAGAACGCCTCACATCTGAAGTGCTGCTGTATGTACACATGAGACACAAACACCCACCTTCTCACTGTCACAGACAGAAAAGACACAGAGAGACTTTTATCCTAAACATGTATACTTCTAAAGTGTTTTTTTGTTGAATGCTTGCAATCTGAGTTATATTACAAGTTTACAATCATGCAACCTAAAATTCCACAATTTGTATGCATGTTTACACTTTTTTAATATCGCAGGATGAGATAAATGTGTCCCGCTTGTTTTAATCACACAGTCAGTGGTTTTTCAGATTTGTAATCATAGTAGATATTTAACAATTATACTCGTATTTTTAAGAAGTACACTTTAAAGGTATTTGGCCTCTGACCTCTGATGAACACATGTCTGACTTGACATTCATGACTAGACGCTAATTTGGATTTCAAACTACTTTCTGTATAAAAAGAAAGTCACTAGAATGCAATGATTTATTTAGTTTCTTCGTTTGACCTAAATAAGGGCTTTTCTCTTTGCTTCTCTTTCTTTTCCTTAGACTGGGGCTTCTTATGTCACAATGCAACGGTGCTTCACTTTTCTTTGTAACCATGAGCTTTGACTCTTAGTATATTTACTTTGGCATGCTTTCTCAGCACAACTATGCCAAGGTGCCGTACTTTCTCTGTGTTTGTGATTGTCAGTGCTACCGGGTATTTCTTTGTGTGGGAACTGGAGGTCAATAAAATCATGACTTCTGATTATAAGACTGACCAATATAAACAGATATATTTCCTGAACAGTCAGCCTGAAATGTTCCTCTCACTTGGCCTGTTTTAAAAAATGTCCCCGATTGTAAACAAGAACAAAATTCTAATCATAAAGAGCAGTTTATCTCACACGAGTGCTGTTACCTTTGTATTTGAGATGAGAATGAGCCATTAACTTGTCCACCACCATATGCATGTTCTTCAGATTTCTTGGACAGAAATCATCCCGTCTGGCCTTATTCTGGAGGAACACTGGACGAGAGTGACATTTAAGGGAGACAAACGTGAACCTTGATATGATTACATGTGGTTGGTGTGTGAGATAGTGTGTTTCTGCATGAAGCAGCTACCTATATGAGGATAATATTCTGCTCCGTCGTCGCTGCCTGAAGAGCCGGAGCTGTCGTGGCTCGCTGACGGAGTGGATGGTTTCAGCATCTCAGCAGTCTGAAGGAACCTGTTCACCAACATGACATGACATGACAGAACATAACTTTCTTTGTGGCAGTGGCATATGCAATCATGTGGCAACAGCTAGGAGGGTTGGGTAATTGTTCATAACGAGAACTTGCAAACATATATACGTACGAGTAACTCAAATCATCAGGGGCCCTCATCTCTAATTTGCTTGAAACTTGTTTTTTTTTATATCACAAACTGTTGTTTTTGTGGTACAACTTAAAAGTTCAGCAAAAAAAATAAAAAATCATTAAGCATTTTATATTAAAATATGTGTTGTATTATTATGACATGCAGCGACACATGATTCAGGAAAAAAAATCACTAGCTGTCCTCTGCATGATCAATATTTTTCTTACCGTGTGCTCAAAGATCAGAATTTTCATGACGGCTTCAATTTATTTTCATTTTTCAGCTCACCGACAGTCAGAGACTATTTGATCTACTTGTCCAGTATTGCAGATTTAGAATGAATGACATGATGAGAAATAACAATGAAAATTCCAGGTTTTCATGTTTGTTAGCTGCTGAGATATTGTCATTCACACACAGCCTCAAATTTCAATGTGTGAAAAAAATGTGCTAAAAAAGGATTCATGGGCAACCTTTTTTTATTATTATCTAGGGAAATATTTCATATATCAAGCTGAAATGTTATAGATATCTTTATAAATATCCTTATTTGATGCTTGAAAAATCTGGAGCAAATCAGAGATGGTCGAGCAGAAATTTCTCTAAAAAATTGGATGAATTACGGTGACCCATATGTAAACACGCAATCAAGATTAACTTCTCAAACATTAAAAGAAGCATCAACATGCACAAAAGACAGTGAAGAAGCTATTAAACATGAATGCAGACAGTGCAGGATTTAAGAAATTCTGAAAAATCTGCTTTGCAAATGGATCAGTGAAACGCATTTAACACATTTTAAAGCCTCAAAGATACATGAAGTGAGTTTAAGTAAGAAAGAAAATTAAGTGAAAATAAATGTATATGTATAAGAGGACGCCATGAGGAAAAGTTTAATTCTATTTTGCACTTTCTGCTCCAGATATGTGTATGTGGACAGCATCTAGGTGTGGTCGACGGGGATAAAGCTCCTTGTTATGTTCAGTGTCATTTTGACGCACACACAAATAATATGTTAAACCACAACTCCGGTCTGTCTTCACATTAGACTCATTCTGTTGTGTAGAAACTGTGGATGTTGCCAAGCTGCCTGTCTGATCCTGACTGGTCAGTAGAGACACATCCTTCAGCGTAGGTCCCGCCCGCAAGAGTCGACATCACAGCAAGGATTTGCATTTTAATCACAAATTTATTGTACTTGCAATAAAACACTTTTTTGAGTGCCATGACTAAATGTCTGAGTAGACTCTCGTCTTTGAGGTAGAAGGACTTCCTCTTTTTTTTTTTTTTTTCTTGAGATGCCAGAGGTTCCTTCAGTCCTAACTGAGCAGTGAGCAGCCCTGGGTGTTTACCTACCAACTGCTCACTAATTATTATGACTTACTAAACGTTCCCGGTCATTGAAGTTGTTAAATATTGATGTGCATGTTTTTCTCCACTTTCAAGGCTAATCCAAGCTTCCTCCTGTCTATCTTATTGCAGCATTTGCCATACAGTTATCATTTTCAGGTTACTAAAAACTCATATTTGATTTAAAAAAGAAAAAAAAAAATGCCAGCTTTAGCCAAGATTACTACACAAAAGGAAAGTGACTTTCTCATGACGCAACACTTATTCAGATTATCTATTATAATTCAGTTTGACTCATAACAAAATTCCTGACAGATACTCGTTGTACTTTACAAGATGAATGAACGTTAGCACATGTTCGACAGGCACACAGCCAGTCACATTCAACCGGTCTGGCTTTGCCCCGCATTTGCTGTTTGCTAGACCAACTGACAGCATTACATTATTGAGCTTATGAAAAAGTGAAAGCAAATATCCTTTCAAGACACAACATGAAATGCTCAACATTCCTTCCAGCCAGACCCGTCCTGAGAGCTGCCCTCTCCATTCGTCATGTGAGCCTGCGCAGTGAGCAGCACACAGAGCCCACGCAGACGAACAAGCTGCTTACCTGTAGAGGTTTAGGTCGGTGAACCAGTCTTGAACCACGATCACAACGTGGCACACTGTGAACAGGAAGGCGGCGATCTGAAGGGACTGTTGACAGATTACACAGAGTTGTTCTTACATTAGAATGAACAGTATGTGTCTACAGGGGAATTACAATAATCACTAAACCATCACAAAACAATAAATCTCAGGAGTAGTGGGACACACACTAGTTCATGTACCGCCCTCTACAGGCCATTCACATACCTGCATCTCAACGTATGTATGAGGAAGGTTGTACTCTGGAGGCAACTTCCGGTCATTGTTTATAAGATGATCGAGGATAGAAGGGCTGAGCATTGGCTGAAGAAACAGGAAGGGCAGTTAATAAATGCCACTCGGTGCTTTGGCGCTGATCGACCCTCAACCACAGGCGGTTTTACACACTCAAAGTTACTTCTTTCAATTCTGAGGTGACATTTTAGTCAGTTTATGAGTTACTTCAGCAATCTGGCAGCACAGTAAAAATACTACAGCAAAGGAAAAAGAGACTGTCAGTCATTCTTACTTGTGTGTCCAAGAAGATGACTCTCTCCTGAGTGATGAAGAAATCAATGCCTGTGCTCTGGTTTCCTCCTCTTTCCTTAATTTCTTGAGTCTGGGCTCTGAACACGTAACTCCTGTTCAAAAAAACATCCGGAATTATCTAGATTTTACAAAACAATGTTTATATTAATGAAAGTATGTGCAAATTGAAAGAGAAGTACGTATTACAAATGCAACTGAAATTGACAAGTGAATGTACAGGATGTAAATGTCTGTAACAGTTAGGACGCTATAACGTTCCACTCTATGGAAGCATTATATCGCCCCTGTGTGTTCAGAATGAGTACCACACTTTTTATGCGCAGCCTTAAAATTCACCACAGGAGGAGGAAATGAGTGAGTTGTTCTTCAGATATATGTAAATAATAAGCTTAACCTATCTGAGTCAGGCATTTGTACTGAACACAGAACAGATTTTGCAGGACAAGCTCTCCCAGCTGAACGTGCCAGACTCCATCTGCAGGTGGATCACAGACTTGCTGTCTGACAGGAGGCAGCACGTGAAGCTGGGAAAACCCATCTCTGACTCCCGGACCATCAGCACTGGATCCCCTCAGGGCTGTGTTCTCTCCCCTCTGCTCTTCTCCCTGTACACAAACAGCTGCACCTCCAGCCACCAGTCTGTCAAACTCCTGAAGTTTGCGGACGACATGACCCTCATTGGGCTCATCTCTGAAGGAGATGAGTCTGCATACAGGAGGGAGACAGAGCGGCTGGTGTCCCGGTGCAGGCTGAACAACCTGGAGCTCAATGCTCTCAAGACAGTGGAGATGATTGTGGACTTCAGGAGGAGCACAGCCCCACTCCCCCCATCAGCTTGACTAACTGCCCAGTGGACCCTGTGGAGTCTTTCTGCTTCCTGGGCACCATCATCATCCAGGACCTCAAGTGGGAGCTGAACATCAGCTCTCTCATTAAGAAAGCACAACAGAGGATGTACTTCCTGCGGCAGCTGAAGAAATTCAGGCTGCCAATGAAGATGATGGTGCACTTTTACAGCTCCATCATCGAGTCCATCCTCACCTCCTCCATCACCATCTGGTACGCTGCAGCGACGACCAAGGACAAGGCCAGACTGCAGCATATCATCCGCTCTGCAGAGAAGGTGATTGGCTGGAATCTGCCTTCTCTCCAGGACCTGCACACCTCCAGGACTCTGAGGCATGCAGATAAGATTGTGGCCGGCCCCTCCCACCTTGGACACGAACTCTTTCAAACACTCTCCTCTGGCAGGAGGCTTCGGTCCATCAGGACCAGAACCTCACGCCACAAGAACAGTTTCTTTCCATCTGCCACCAGCCTCATGAACAATGCCCAGGACCCCCACTGATTTTGTCCTAAATCAGCTGGGATAGACTCCAGCCCCCCACAACCCTAGTGAGGATTAAGCGGTGTATAGATAATGGATGGATGGATGGATGGATGGATGGATGGATAGATAGAGGACACTGACATCATGAGATGACATTATGCATAATGAGAGATATTTTGGTAACCCTTGAAAATTTTTTACAAATATGTGTGTAGTTACTGAATTGAGGAAGAAATTAGGAACTTGTGGGCCGTTTTAGAGCAGCCCAAACCTTTGTGCATGCTTTGACTGAAAGAACAACCCTTGCAGAACCTTTTTTCAAGGCCATTTTTGGAAGAGAAAGAAACATGCATCCCAAGGTGGCTACTTCTGAGCAGCCCAGACAAACTGCTGTGTGGGTCTTGACGCTGATTGGATAAACTAAGAGAAGACAAATGCTTATTGTTTAAACCTGAAGAGGACAACAAAACCCTTTTTTTCTGCCCTCGGTGAGTATCAATGTTCTGCTCTCAAACCCGGCCTAAATATAGGGCAACATAACAAATTTGTTTTATTTCAGACATGTTCATAGAACTGGAGTCACATCTAGTCATTACTGTTTGTCGGTGAAGTTGATATTGCGCTTTAAGCTGTTGGTTGCACATCCTAATGGGAACAGAAAGGTTTTAGAGGGCTGATTATGGGGCCGTTCGTGTAGACATTTGCACCACTTCGTACCCAGCCAGAGTCTCTGCATTGGAATGCCAACTACAGAACAAGAGTGGAGAACCAACCGGGAGATGTTAACAAATCATTGAGTAATGATTAGTTCATAACTATCCGTGAATCCATCACACTCCTCACTTTCTTCTTAAGTAGTTTAAACACTAAACACAAGCTATTCATTCACTATTCATTACTTAAACATTAGTTATTCTTTTTGAGCATCTTCCAGAAATGAAACATCATCCTGAGTAGTTATTAGTACTTACTCATGATTTAATGATTACCTCACTGTATTGTTAATATGTCCCATCAGTTAAAACTGATGCTGAAAACTGAAGCAAAATCATTCTCGCGAATGATTTACATGTAAAGTCAATGTGAAGACGCGAATAGATACGAGTAAACATCCCGCGGCGCTAATCATGTGATTAGCGTGGCGCGATTGACGCGAATTGAGCGAGCTATTCGCGCGAATGACGCGATTCTATTCGCGCTAAATGCAAATGAAGAGAGTAAACTCAGTGCACACACACGTCCAAATACACGCGTAACGCGCGAATAGTGCGATGAATTCGAGTCTGGTGTGAACACTGCCAAGCAATTTACTAACTTTATCTTATTCTTGATGCTACCCCTGACCTTACCTTTGATCCTCCTCAGGAGTGTTGGCAGACAACAGTGACATGATCGTAGATTTCCCGCTGCCCTGCAGGCCGATGACTCCCACCACCAACATGTCCGTCTGGTCCCTCAAATACTGCAACACACAACAACAAACACCACTTCCTTCAGTGAGTACACCTAAAACATCATTAAATCTTCTGACCTCAGTCTACTTACATTACTAAACACTAACTCACCTCCATGGCACTGTCACACCAGTTCATCTGGTCATCCACCAGCTTGATGCTGTGCTTCATCTTCTCTGGAGGAAGGAGTTTGGACTGGCCAACCATGGCTGGAAGTCACATAAAAAGATTTAAGTTGCTTGTCTCTGCACACATAATTTGGGCTTTATGCCTGTGCAAGGAGGGTATTTTTACATTTACAGTATTACATTTTTTATTTTTTTTTGTGAAACATAAAACAACTTACGGTCCACAGCACTACTTGATGCAGAAGCACCCATTCCTCTGTTCTGAATTTGGTATACTGGCTGGGTGGGACGCTGGCCTTCCCTCTCCATCTTGGATGGTCCAGGACCAGAGGACTGAGCTGCTGCCTCTGGGGGAGTCCCTGGCTTCCCTGCATCATCTCTGGCTTTCATCAGCATGATGGGCTTCTCCAGGACCGGCGCTCCAGTGATGGGTGCATTCTGGGATGGCTTAGCCTTGGAAAGGATTCAAGGTTTGATTAGAGGTCGAGGGCTTTCAAAGATATAAACTACACTTTTTGAAATGATCACTTATTAAATGATTTATTCTAGCAGTTGGCATATTCTGGAACTTTGAAAAAAAGCATCCTCAAAAGTAGCGCTAAACAATAAGCAAACAAAATCTAAATGTGATCATTTTGACAGATTTGTGATAGTGATAGACATATGTAGTGGGAATGAGATTTTTGCTTTTTTCCCACTGAAACAACATAAAAATGAAGATGTGGTTGTTGCTGTAGTCTGTACCAAACAAGAACATGAGTTGCAGGCCGTTGCATCTCTGAAGTGCAACAACGCTTCATTTTTAATGGTATTTTGTGACACATTTCACCTTGATTGAAATAAATGCAGCTCCTGTGATTTCAATAGTGCATTTAACCATTTCAATATTATCCTGATTGACTGCTAAGGCCTAGTGTAGATGTCATGGTTCCCAAACTGTGGGATCAACCTGACTGTTCTGTAAGCAAAGTAACCATGCAGTGTGTTACTGATTGTATACAACAGATAGAGCTGCAAATGGAGCTAACATACCCTCTCCCCTGGAGGTTTTGCAAGAATGATGGGGGTCTTCTGAATGAGAGGGCCTGGTGGATCCTCGCTCCCATCCTGATTAGAAATTTTTACAAGTACTTCAGTCAATGTTATGATACACTGAATTTCAAGCAGTCAGCAGTCAAGGCAAAACAGACTTCGTTGATTTGTGTCTACATTACCCTTCGTTCTCTCGGTTGGTATTCTCGATCTCGACTGGGACCGGACAGATTTTGCCCCGGCGGTCCAGCATCTCTGTCTCCCCGACGTCGCCTCCTCCTGCGTCCCTGCCCGTACATGCCGGGCTGACTGTGGCCGGACTCTGACATGTCGCAGCGGCTGAAGTGAGTAGGAAGCTAGCTAACCGCTCTGTGACTCCCCGTTCAAGCACAGGTGAGTGAAAGATAACACGTCCACCGAACTGTTGTCGAAACTGAAAGTCTGCTGCGAGCTACAAACCTGTGATCGTTACTGTCGTTGTCGTTTAAATTCGTTAGTTAGCTTGAAATGCTACATTTACTGCTCAAGCACTTGTCTGTGGACATAAACAGTAGCCAAAGAGTCCCGGTAGTTCGCTTGATTTAATTCACGGCGCTTACCGTTACAGGGTGACGGAGCGGCTCACCATTAATCAGAGCGCTGGGAGAAACTCCGCCCGCCCGAAAATCCCCTTTCAAACAGACAAACGCATATTGTTCCTCTTGTAAAAGAAGCCGTTTAGAAACAGGGTAAGGACATGGTTAGTTCCCCCCACTTCAATTTCAACATGTGCACTGTATAAAAGAATACAGTAGGAAACATTATTTTATACTCTTATTCTCTGTTTAACCTTGTTCTGCTATTTTTGTTTGTCTTTATCATGACATACTTACACATTTTCTTAAAAACTTAGTATTTTTGTTTAATATCGTACAGTTCAAACCAAAATATTTAATTTACTCCAGCAAATAATCTTTCAGCGCCTTAACCTCAGTAACTTGTTGAATAAACTCATAACGCCAGTCTTATTTCCGTATTGGAAAGCACTTTTGTTCAACGACTGTTGTGTAAAATATACCAATTTGAAAACAACTTGACCTTACTGTTAAGGTGTTGTTGCGCTATTATATTTTTACTTTTATTTATGTATTCATTCATCCATTTTTTAAAATGTATTTGTTTATTTCTTTTTAAATAATAATAAAGAATTAAAAAAGAAGACGATGAATACAAATTAAGTTTTACTACTTCTACTACTACTACTAATAATAATAATAATAATAATAAGAAGAAGAAGAAGAAGAAGAAGAAGAAGAAGAACCTGAAGTGTTGTTTCAAAAGTATGGTTCAAGTAGCCGGAATTAACTTTGAGTCAAACTCGTCAAAAATTTCTTATCAAATCAAAAAATTAAATTTATAAAATTCAAAACAAAAACTGCTGTTGGAAGTAGTCGAGCGGCTAGCATTCAGCCTGAGAGGCATATTGTCTAAGCCATCAGAGCACAAAGTGATTAAAAATTTTACTTGACTTCTTACGAGACACAGGGCTTAGAAACAGAATATTATTTTTTATTTATTTATTTATTTATTTATTTATTTATTTATTTATTTATTTATTTATTGTGTAGCTTGCATGCTACTCATTTTTTCTGCAAAGCTGTGAGCCATAACAGTGGTCGTTTACAATGCATCCGGAGGGTGGCGGTAGTGCGCTAAGTTAGTCCGCATCCGCCGTTAAACGCTCAAAGAAGAAGAAGAAGAACGAGCGGCTACAAAGCACGCTGTTGCATTGTGGGAGTTGTAGGAATTTCTCTTCCTGGTAAAACCGGATATGGACTTGCTCAGCGAGTGGACGCCATGAACAACAGGACGGTGTCTTCAAATATGAAGATTAAAAGGTTTTTCTCATTATAATGCGCTCAGTCATACTTTAACTATCACCTCATTTACACATGAAAGTTCTTCAGATATATTTCTTAAATCGACGTTGATTATTTATCTGAAATCCCAATTCATCACATACAAGTTAAAATGAACGCGAGCTGTTTGTATTTTCTACAGTCAGTGACTTGGACTAACTGTCGGCTCCTGGTTGAACTTGTGGACAGGGGTAAGTGCAGTTTACAGTCCTGGTCGTGTAATGTGATGTGTTCTGGCTCATAGCTCAACAACAGTAGTTTACTTACATAGAAACGGACATAACAGATGACCAAAGACCGTTTTAATGTGTTATTGAGTGTGACTACACAACCTTTACCGCATTTGTTATGGTTGTTGTGCTAAATGGTCATTATTGTTGATTTTATACTTTCTTCAGTTATGGGATGAACAGTTTTGTCTGCAAACCGTAAAAAGTATGAATTTTGGACTTTTTCTAAAAGAGATATTGAGTGTAGACAAAAATAATGACAATGACATAAAAGAACAAGAGCCTAAGTCCTGCTAGCATCCCAAAAAGGCTGTACTTGCTAGCTAAATGCTAACATGCTCACATTTACTATGCTAATATGCAAGGTTGGGATACTGTGTTTACTGTCATAGTTTAGCATGCTAGTTTGGTAGTATTTGCTCATTTGCACTCGGAGCAAGGTCACCTGAGGCTGACTGGAATATAATGTGTTCACTAATAAAACACCAATCTGTTCCCCCAAAATCCAGTATACAGTATTTTAAAATAGGTCCTCCTTATATGAACCCCGTCAGTGGATCTTATTTTTAGGAGCTTTGTGAAAAGCAATTGGACTTCTCTTTGTAGGTTCTCAAAGATGTTTCACTTCTCATCCAAGAGGCTTCTTCAGTGTTTGGATGAGAGGTGAAACATCCCTCAAGGAAAAGTCTAGTTTTACTGAAGCTCCTAGGATTACCATGACCCTGTACATGATTTCTGTTAGTTAAGAAAAAGTGCATGATACCTTCAGATTATACACTTGCCTATGAAGCAACAAGGGACACACTGTCAAAGATTTGGGATCATCCTGTTGGTCCTGTGGCCCCCCACCGACTCCTTATCCTGAGTATTTAGAGCCGAACCTCACAAGTTTTTAAAGTAAGAGAAAGGAACTAAACGTGGAGCGTTGGACGGAGGAGAGAATATGTAGTATACCTCAGTTTGTGTATCTGTAATCAGCAGTTGCAATAGACAACCACAATACTGACACAGTGAATGAATAGTTGAAAAAGTTGTCAGCAAATAGTCGGGATTAACAGGTGAAACGGTTTTCTAAAGAAATATGTGTAAAAAAAATAGAAATAGTTAGCTAAAGGATGAAAGCTAGCTAAAATTAACAATAAACAGAAATAATTGGATAAAAGCATGGTTAGCAGTTGAAACAGCTCAGAGTGGATAAATAGCAGAAATATCTATGAAATATATATGGATGAACAGTTGAAACAGCTGTAATCTAAACGTAATGGATAGGTGTTATAGTAAAAGCTCTTACCAAACTGACCTAAACAATGATAGTTGGAGTGGAGGAAAATTAATTTTACCAATATTAGCTTGAAAAGGAGTCCAAATAAACACGTCAGCATGAGAGGGGCTTTTTTTGAATGGAGGCTATTTGAGGTGAAAAAGTTGGTAGTCGCTGTGCTGCAATGAAGATAATGATGATGTAGAAAACCTGTAACAGGGACTTATTTCAAATTACTTTAAGTGACTTTAAGTTCTGTTTTGCATTGCAGACCACCCAGAGGTTGCTTGACCACCTCCTTATGTCCGAAGACTCGAGCAGTGAAGAAGAATGGTGTGTGTCCACAAAAAGGCAGATGTCTAATGCACACCCAAAGACAAAGTGCTGGGAATGTGGCAAACAAATCAGCAACTTAACAAGCTTGATCTCACACTATCAAAGCCACAATATCAAAGCCACCTGCCACATCTGCAAGGTTACTTTTCGCCGCCTGACGTCGCTCTCCACACACCTGGATAATGCGCACTCGCCACCCCTCTGCAAAAAGTGCCATCAGTCTTTCAGTAACGTGTGGGAGCTGAACAAGCATGCAGAGACACGTTGCACGGACTCAGCGTCATTTCACGAAGCTTCATCTTTGATTCCTGGTGTCAAACGTAAGAAGCGTAACAGTGACAACTTTTTTAATGAGGTGACTGTGCACCAAAACAAGAACTCAGTACTACGTGACTCAGCGTCAGAGTGGAGGCCTGATCAAAGAGCTGAGATGAAGCCCAAGAGACCTGAGACATCTGACAACAGTGTGGAGTACATAGTGGGTGAAGACGATAATGATATTGACATGGAAAGTGATCATGAGAAAGCAGATGATTCAACAAGCTCTGACTCCGATGATGAGGACAGCAAGCGCAGTAAACGCACAGACCTGTGTCCGGGTGATTTCGAATCAGATGGCGGCTCAAGCTCAACTGATGATTCCAGTGACTCTTCTAACAGCCCAAACTCTAAAACAACCCCTGCATCTTCTCCAAACACTAAAAGTTCAGTATGTACTGTGTGTGGTAGAGGGCCGTTTAGATCAATTAAGCTCCATTTGCTGCACTGTAGTGGTGTAAGAGTAAAATATCAGTGTTTTCTGTGCAAGAAGCTCTTTGTAACTGAGACAGCACTTAATGAACACCTCATGCCTTTGTATTCATGTCACATCTGCAGTCAAGTTTTCTCTCATGAGAACTTGTACTTTGGCCACCAGTGTCCCAAGGGAAACAAATCATCTTTGGTCCTCTTTTGTTCCGAGTCGTTGCCAAAGGCATGTAACATATGCAAATCCTTTTTCTCTTCTGAGAAGGCTTTGTTAGACCACGTTACCAGAGTTCACACATCAGTGGTCAGCACCAAGGTGCGCATTATTACTGATCCATCAGTGCTGGCTAATAAAAAGGTCACAGGAGGTGTGCACAGGACAGAAGCGCAGTCAGCCATATGTAGTCCAAACATAGCAAACCAGGCCATTAATGGAAAGCTCCACGCTGGGCAAGCCAATGCAGGGTCCACTGTTGTGAAATCTAGCCCTTCCTCTCTCTTGACCTCCTCCCAACCTGGCACTCATCCTGTCTCGATGCACACGGTGTCTGCTGCTGCACCTGACAAACCGAGGAACCATAGTGCTGTAAATAAGCCAACCAACCAGCCTTCCAGCTGTCTATCTGCAACTTTAGTTATCCCTCCTACTGCCACCGACACAACTCCAGACACTGCAGCTGCCTCTGACTCTGTTTCTCCTCCATCGCCCACAATTCTGGCAATGTTCGAGAATGACAGCCAGGATGTGGCTTTAATGAAACGTATGAACACAGGCTGGCGCTCCAAGGCCCCTTACCCCTGCCGGCAGTGTGGTGCCATCCTGCGGCAGCCCTCCCTCATCATCAGCCACCGCTACCTCCACCGAGGCCGCCGCTCGCACCGGTGCCAGTGCGGCCGAGCTTTTAAGCACCGGCTGCACCTCCTGCGACACTGCGTCCAGCATGCGGAGGCCATGAACTACATCTGCGTCAGCTGCGGGGACACTTTCACAGGAGCTAAACTCTTAGCTCAGCACCTGAAGGGCAAATCACTGAAAAAATCCCGTTCTGGCCGAATGTGGAAAAGTAAAGTTAAGACCAAGTGCAGAATGCCGTTTACATGTGACTGTGGACAACTTTTTTTCAGGCCTTCAGCTTACATATGGCATCAACTTAAAAACAGGACAAAAAGTAAACAATTGAAGAAGCCCGTGAAATAACCATGGAGCACTTGTCAAGTGTTTAAACAAATGGGAGATTTAACACATGTCATCAGGTTGTCACTGTTTTGTTTAATTCATGTTACCAAGAGACAAAATCAAAGCAAAAACACATTCATTCTTAATGGCTTTGGATTCTAAGCATGTCCTGGGTGGTTGTTTTCACCATGTGCAAATGATACATAGTAAACAGGGTTAGAGTAAGTTCCTTGTACGTTCTTTTGAGTACAAATGAACCCACAGGGAACTGTTTTCAGTATTGGATTCAGTTAAAACACATCAAAACTCCAGTTTATCCTCCAGAGAAAAAGTAAGTCCAGTTTTGCAATTGTTTCGTCACAAAGTGCATTTTTATCAGTGAAGTTTACACGGAAGTCGGAGTCCTCCTGTTTTCTGCTTTTAGTTTAGCCAATGCAGACTTTGTGCTCCTTTGAGACACCGAAGAGGTCTTGATATTCAGGTTGAAAATAGCATAGGACTTTTTTAATGGTTGTTATATAATCATCATTATTTTAACTTTAATAGCCCCACATAATTTGTTTCCCAAACTCTTGTCCACTAGATGGAGCAGTCGGGTTGCCGAATGATGAGCTAACGAAGCAACTTGAGCTCAGGTTTAATTGTTCTCAGAGCAGGTGTAAACTGCGGGATGCTTTTCCTACATCAGATGATTACAACCCAAAATGTACACGTTATTCTAGGAGCTGTAGTTGAAAGCCAAGATAATCCCACGGACTTAACAATTTGAAATAAAGTTTCCTCTCCACAATATCTGAATCGACAATTAGTTTCTTCTCTCCACTGATCGTCAAAACACACAATTTCATTCATATTTCACTTGGAAGGCTGCGGGAAAGCAGAATATTCAGGAGGCACTGTGTTACGTTTCATCGGCCTGTCTTCAAACAATAATCAACTTGGTCAACTGTCTGTTAATGGGGGAAAAATGATTTATGAGGTGTTTTCTAGAGCTGATTGGGCTAAGATTGAAAAAAGAAAATAAAATTAACATGTGAAATATACAGTATGTATATCTTATTCCACAGGAATAAGGCAATAATAGAGTTCATCAATACAATTTTACAAATAGCAGTTTGGAGATCCTTTGTTATTGTGGAGAACAAGATTCTCCACAGTCCTCGTTTGAGTTGAATTTGTGCACCGTCACAAACGCGTCTGCTGAAAACTCAACAGATTTCTCAAACTGCAGTGATTTTCCCACAGTGAATGGAAGTCTTATTTTATCTGTATAATTTTACAGCAGTGAGTCATTGTGCAGTGCACTCAGCGCTGGGCCAGAAGATGAGATCTTTAGTAGGTATGCCAGTCCTCCAAGTGGTTCAGCATGTTAAGGATCTGAAGCAGCTCTGGGTGGAGAGGATTGGTGGATACTGTAGATGAAAACACTGCAGACGCTTCAACAAGTGCGTGCAGCCATGTCACCTACAAAAAAAAGAAAAAAGAAAAATCTGCAATGCTGGGACTTTCAAATTCAGCGTAGATACCACATCCTGCAGCGTGTTGTTCAGCATCACCGGCAGCCGAAAGTGCTGTTTACCTAATTTCTGGGTTGCGGTGTCGTAGGACCTGAGACAGCAGCTCAGAGCTCTGTTGGAAGCAGCGACTCAGCTCGTCCAGCTTCTGCTCCATGGAGAGGATGCGCTGCTCCAGCTCGCGGTAGGAGTTGTTCCAGTCGGCGCTGAGGTCGCACATGATCATCTGCATCTGTTGAAATCCGACATGCAACACAAAGTGCAAATGCTGTAGTGTTTCAAAACAATACAACAAAAGAAAACACTTAGAGGTCAAAGTAGAACCACAAAGATATTGCTGGACTCTATGACACATTTTAAAACTATGTTGAAAATTTGTGGCGAGGCTTTTGGTGTGTCCGATACTGAAACATTTGTGCGACAACTTGAAGTCGAATCGCTGGGCCGGATTCAAAACCACACCCTGTGTTGCCCGCATAGAAAACACGTCCCACATTTGGCAACTCCATTGGCAGTTTCAAAAAAAAGAAGAAGCCAACAGCAGCAGATCTTTTTTTTTTATTCTTTTACTTTGAGACTGTTGCTCAGCTGCATTCAGTCAGTCAGAGAGTTCGTTTACTGCGCGCCTGTTGGACTGTAACTGATTGGAAAGTGACCGCTGCATGGTTTACTTTTAACCAAGCAGCTACACGTGCAATCTTGGAAAAACTTGGCTTATTTTCCGTATACATCAATCAATTACAATGCACGAATTGCACATTAACGTCTCGCTGGGTAATGTCTTTGCATCTCTACATGGAAAAGCTTCTCAGGGCCCGTGAATTCCTGACGAATGAATCTCGGGATTCATTCGTCAGGAATTCAAATCTCATCATTTTGCAAATGTGTCTGAATAGCTAGCTTCTAAGCAGCAGACTGTAAAATAGTGCAGTGAATTTTTTTTTATGGAGTCTTAACAGTGAAGCATGTGCAAAATATTCCAATGACAGCTGATATTTACCTTCGGGAGGTCCACCATCTGGCTGACGTAATCTCTCAGTTTTCTTTGTTTGAGGCGTAATTGACGAAATCTGTGCAGACAAAAAAAAACAAGTTTGTTAGATCTTAGTCAAGTATTCCATAACCACATTTTAATTACTCCATTATAAATATTACACCTGGGCACAGAAAGAGAAAGGAATCAATGTAATTTCATTTACAAGTGAAAGATCCTTTTTTATTTGGATCAAACAGACTAATATAATAAAAGAAATATGACGTGTTGGGGTTTAAAATCTCTAATAAGAGTTCGGGAGTGCCCATCTGCAGATGGAGCGTCCTATTTTTGGAAGAATGGAGCAGCCCCTGGCACGATACAGGAGCGCCGATTTGTGGAAGAATATGCTGACAATCAAGTATTCCACTACTCAACCTGGAGGAGTCATGCTGGGTTTGTTAAACAGCTATAAAACATTGCTAGAAGGTTTCTGACATATAGAGATGGAAAAGGGCTAAATTTAGTACCCTGGATGGATGAAACCAAAAGTTGCACCGAAAAAAGACACATGGAAACCGATATTGCAATAAAGCACCCGGTCTGCGAGGACTTTAGAGTGATGGAGGGATGGTCTCATTACAGCTCTCGATCCCAAGGTGTGGAGGTTCCTCCCTCTCATACTTTCCACAGAGTGTTTATTTATAATGGTTCAGGCCGGTTTAAAGCAGGAAGGGCAACCCCTCCACACATGTTGTCAGGATAACACACCATATAATCCCACTTGTGGGTTTCCTGTTTTGTGCAATCCACTTGTTCTTAGAAGAGAAGCAAAAGGAAGCATCTCAAATGGGGAAAAAAGAAAAGTGCAAAGCAATCTATAAAGTTGACACCTCATCATTATGTTCTTTATCTTAAGGGAAAGGATGCACAATAGCACTGTCAAACACTGTAAGTTATTATCTTATTTAATTAGTTACTGGCCAGTAATAGTTTTGGCATGCATTCTGCACAATAAACGGGTGGACCCTTGTACACACATGCCCTACCCACATAAAAGGCGCAACCGAATGTAATTAGTAATCTAAATTATCCTTTAAAATCGATGACTCTGTGGTTAAGCATGTTGACACTAAGTTAATGACCCATAAAATACACATGCAAGGCGTACAAACCAGCACCCACTTACATCCCTCGCCCCGAACACACACACACAGACAGCCTGCCCGAAGGCATCGTTTTGTGATACAGTAACTCACACTTTGATGGCTTCCAGAAGGCATCTCTGGTGTCTCCGGTGCTCCTCGCGGTTGCCCTTTGCCAGGTTTGTGCGCTGCAGGAGCCAGCATTCTCTTAGCACATTAGCAGCTGCGTGGCGGATCTGGAAACAGAAGACGGAAAACTAACCGATCAGACAAGTAGCAGATAAAAGCATCGAGATAAAGTCAGTCACACTTTGCAAGCCTGGCCGACGAAAATCACACAGAGCTGCTTGAATCTTTTTAGACATTTTAGTGCAGGATGTAAAAGCATGAGTCATCCAAGCCAGCTGATTAAATCCAGATAGTTTTCCTGTTCCACCCTTCTGTTCTATGATGCTGATTTCAGATAATAAAGAACTATTAGGTCTTATTTTCGCAAAGAAACTCACAGTAATATAGAAGAATCTGAAGAACAGGCCAAAGTAGGCCTTGACATTGCAAGATTTCTCCAGGATCACCTTTTTTGCACTCTTTCTCTTTGATTCTATTTGTGTCTGTTTGCCTTCCTGCCCAAATCACTGTAACTGCCCTGTGATGATGTCACTCCGGCCCTGTTGTGAGGGTTATTAATAGAGGTTGTCAGTGTTTGCATCCAGATGTCTTCCCTTGTTCCCATCAGTGTAAATCTGGACTGCACCAGATAGCTCAGGAGGATGCACGCACACACACAAACCAAAACAACCGCGAGCGAGGCGTAAAGATGCACCGAGTGACAGGATGCAGCCACCAGGAGAAAGGAAACGGTTGTATCCTCCGAAGCAGCGGCAGCCAGATACTGCTTTGCATTTTGGCAAGGAGCTGTAGCATGAATTAACCACCGTAGAAACCCCCTCCGTCCTTATACGCAATCATGTGTCTTCCTTGGATGCCTGCAATTTCATTTCCAGCTCCTTCATCCAACTTCTTACCATCAATAAGCAAACTTTTAAACCTGTCCAAGCCTACAAACAGCCTCTGCAAAGCCACGTTCACACACACACGCTCAAACGCACGCTCAGTTTCCTGCTGCACCGTCCTGAACTGACACAAGCCTCTTTCCTGACAAAGATAACATTATTTCCTCTGTTTGACGCCTTGAAAGGCCTATAAAGACGTTGGCAGATCTCATCTCCCTCCTCTTTTCCCACACTATCCTGTTCTCTCGTGTCTCTTTTTTGGGGACCAAAATAATCACTTTTTTTTTTTTTTTTTTTTAAAGATATCAAAAACCAAACAGGCTTGCAAAGTGGAAAGTTGTGACACATCCATCCTGACATCTCTATCCGCCTTTTTGTCTTACTTTACTGTAGTGACTTGTGATGGGAGGTAGGGTACCTGACTGGTAATATATGTTTATATTGGGAAGTTCATTTGATTAGAAAGATAATTATCCAAATGAAGCAATTTTAACTATTTTCAGGTTCTTTAGCTCCCATTACAGAACTTACTTTAATATGTTGCAGAGGTACTTCTTGGTCTCACCAGAAAACGTTGTTCTTGCATTATTAACATAGTTTCCTTTCATTTCGGTGCACTTGGTCCAGCATTTTTCAAGCCTCTCCAGCCCTTCAAGGAAGACGGTCGCATCTTTTTGAAGTACCCTCACATATCTAATAAACTGTTGATCATAATCCAGGGGTCTGCAGCCTGTTTTAAGAAGCAACAAATCCAGGATCTGTTTTTATTATCAGGCTTCATTAAGCCTAACAATAGCTAAACATTCACACAATTAACTCAAATCAACCCAGATTCTCTAAACCCATCCATGACGGCACCAGATGACCAAACACAGACAGATCCAGAGCTTTATACTTCTCACAAGAAGAGAACACATTGCAATATCTGTCAGTTGAAGTTAATTATTGTTCAATTTTCATAAAAGCAGTATAGATAGAGCTGATAAATGATGAGAAATTGACAAATAAAAAGAAGACCGACTGTGCCCAGTGGTGGAAGTTGTTAGGATTAGAAATAAGTTTTCACTTTTTACTTGGTTTTTAAAGTTTTTTCACACAAATTAGTCCTGAACCAACAATCACACTGTAACTCTAAACTAATACGAGAAGTTTAAAAATGTAATACAGACCGAAAGCAACGCATCTGCTGCAGCCAAAGCAGACAGGAAAGCAGACTGTGTGAGCTAATAGACTTATCAATATCACTGCCTCATCATGGGCACGGACAGATCTGACTAGAATTACAACTGTGTATTCCATTAAATTAATATGTTGCAGATGTATTCTTCTTCTTTCAGCTCTGGCGGCGATAAACTTTGTGGAAGCAAGTAAACAGCGAATGTAAAAACATAATTCTACCCAGTCAGTAGGTTTGTTGGAAATCTGCTAAGGTCATCAAGGCATTAATGCTTCTATCAGTTTGCATTGCTTTGAAAGACTGCAGCTCCCTCCACTGATGATCTGCATCTTTCATATCTCATTCGGGAAAGAGGAGACTCTCTCACGATCCACGCACCGAGCTCCAGGGAATCTTCTAAGAATGGTGACGGCATTTCCCAAGAGAACTGAAATGGTCAGTAAGCGGTGGTTTATCTGTTATTTAGAGCATAGCCTGCTTTGGATCAGGTTAGGTGCTGCATAAGTTACGGCGATGATGCACTCCAGTAAGAAATAAACCGCTGTTGTAAAGACGCAGAGCTAAACCTGAAGTTACTACCTCAAATCCTGCTTCATGTGGGCCTCTGACGCTACAGTTAAGACGATTTTCTAATTTAAGAATCAGTCATGTGACACATACTGAGCTGGAAATGTGTTAATAATTAAAACTAGTTAATAGTAAAGACTGTTTTCATTGGATGCTCTTCCAGAAAAAATCTTAAAATTCTTCCTTATTGTGGTTTCTAATTAAATGGAATTTCACATGTTTTGGCCCCTCCAGTACAAATAACATATTTTACATAACTAGCCAAGCATTTTTCCAAAGCATACCAAAGCGCTGTTAGTTTGTTATATTATTGCTGCGTGGCAATGAAGCACAGACTTTTCAAATCATTCTGCACTTACATTCGAATTACCACGCAATGTTCCAGTGACTTTGACAACAATAAACACGGGCATGGTGTTCATTTTGATGAATTATCTAACTTAAACAAGTTTCAAATGTCTGCAAGCTGGTTTTCATAGGGGGAATAAAATTAACAGAAACCAACAGCTGGCTGGACGGTAGGAACGGTGCATCAAACGAAAGTGACCACCCATTTTGAAACAGCAGTAATAAAAAATAAATAAATTCCAGAATTGCAAATAACAAACAGCAAAATTCATGCAAAATGTCAGATTTCTAATTAATTGTCAAATGGATGCAAAGAGAAATGCAAAGAAAGAAAGCACAACTTGGCATATTTACAATTAGTGACATTTCTATACATGTTTGCTGGGAGAACATTGCATGCTCTTACCCTTTTGGAGATCTGGATGTTCAGCATGAAGAAGTGCACGTGTTTCTCTCCTTTGTTCAGCGCCAGCTTCTCTGTTACGATTGCTACCAGCATGGCAGTGCAGGCTACACCCTGAAACCCAACACAGCTGTTAGCATGGTTTCTCATGCACTGTACGCACCACTTGCCTGTCTTCTCAACAGATCCCCTGTGATTATGTAACACTGACCGAGGATAGTGAAACAAAGCTGATTTCAACCCTCAACAGCGCGGTTTGTTTCTTTTGCTCCTTTATTGCCCTCAAAGGAAAGAATTTATTCAGAAAAGTCAGTGTTGCTCTTTATACCTTAAATGGTTTAGTCTAATAAATCAAAGTTATATTTACACAAAAAGTTCAGTGGTTAAACAGGCCTCTATGGCTCTATAATAGTTGCGGGGTTCCTCTGAGAATAGCTTTGTGCTATTGCTGGACAGGGAACTACAGACTGATGGTAAATATCCCAGCAGGCCACAGAGCAAACCTCATCCACACAGTCACACACACACACACACACACACACACAAAAAGACAAAACACTGCACCGAGCCCACATCCACCACAGATAATGACAAAGGTTTTTTACCTGCTTTCCTTTTTTCAGCTTGCATTAGAGAAGAAAGAGAGAGAGAGAGAGAAAGACCAAGCATGAGCATAAGAAAGCCTCAGCCAGAGTTTTGAAAGATATATTTATCCTTCACTCCAGCAGCCACAAAATATCTATCATTACATCGTCTGAGAAACCTGGGAGGTACAAACTCTTTCCTTGGATCCGTCCGCACACAGTGATGGGATGCAAACAGTGTTGTCAGCCCCTGAGCGCAGCTGCAAATTGAGTTACAGCTGGAGTAAAGCCGAAGTTTCTGACCAGGGAGGCTCTGGGCCATATTACAGGTGTGAGCATCACCCCAGTCACTGGATCCCAGAGCTGCCCCGATGATGGGAGTGGGGGAAATTTATTTTTTTTCCAAACCATGGGCACAGGTTGGCACACCCTCCTGTTTGGAGTGGTGCCAAAGGCAATAAACCACCTAAAAATGGATATGGTGGAAAGTTTTCCCTTATAAGGGGGGAACTTATAAAAACAAGGGAGATGGAGAAAGAGAGAGGGAAAGATCGGGAAGACTGTTTTCCATTCTGTCACAGAGGTGTCTAAGCCGGACTTGTGCCCACATCCAGAGCTACGGTGGTGACTCTTATCTGCTCGTACCGGAATTTAAAGCATTGATATATTATCTTTTCAACAGCCACTCCATGCTGTCAGTGACTTACTGTTTATCTAGCTTTACTATCTCTGACCTTCCTCTCTTGTTCAATCTTAACCTTATGTTTGCATTACCATGTGTATCAAACTAACTGCAATGTTTTCTCTATTTTCCCCCTGAGATGCTTTAATTTGTTCTTTTGACAGAAAAAGCTTAATTGACAAATTTCACGACATCCTAACACGGTTTGATGATGGTGAGCAGTGAAACATCGTCATCGCTCAGCACAAAACAGATCACACATAAACTCACAGCTGGGATCTAAATCACAGGGAAGAGTTTAGTGCATCCAAAATAACTGGCGGAACAGCACAGAAGAAGCTGGGCTTGCAAAAAAAGTAAAGGAGAGAATTGAACCGAACTGAACTGACCTACAAATGAAGTTGGAAAAATGAGTGAGAAAATGGGACAAGAGTTGCTGCAATGGAACAGAAGGGGATGAAACAAAGCAGAGAGGATGCTATGGAGCAGTGTGGAGGAGAACAGAAATCATAACTAAACGCAGCAGAATGGAGCAATGGGGCAAGAAACCGGGACATGACTTGTGGAGTCGAGCACATGGAGAAGGGAAAGAACAGAACAGGGAGGAACGGGAGTAAATGATAAGGTAGGTTTGAACACAGCAGGACGAAATGAAGGGAACAGCAACAGAGCGTCTTGTTTTTTATCAGAGAGGCAGACAAATACAGAAGTGAAACAAAGATAAGACATCTCCCCTCCATGTGCTTACCAAACTGAGAATTAAATATCTTAAAATCACCACTGCTGCTGTGCTGGCTGGATAATTTTCTGACAAGAGGCCAAAACAACCACTTGATAAAACAACTTTAAATGCATCAACAAGTGCTGAGTCATTTATATATTTGCACACAGTTGCATCTTCTAAAACCTCATAATGAACCCCAAACAATCTACAGTTTTGTATGACATTTTCTCATGAAGGAAATCAGCCTGGTTACCATGACGCCGGTGAAGAGACACACTGCCTTGCCACAGCTGGTGTTTGGTGCCACGTCCCCGTAGCCCACCGTGAGGAAGGTGATCGCTATGAGCCACAGAGCTGTTTCCATGTGACCTGTGGAGGCTTGGGTCTGCCTGCAGGGGCCAGCAAGAAGGAAGAAATCCTGTTAAATGCATTCTTATGGAGCCCAGCTAGCAGGGAACGTTCCCACAACGCTGGCTAACATTTGCTAAAAGTTGTAAAGAATAATCACATCTTCACATTTTAAGGATGTTTATAACTTTCTATATGGTTAAATGTTGTGTAATAAGTTTTGATTGCAACATTCAGAGGATGTTTTGAGGACGTTATCACAGATTATGTTGAGCGATAACAAACTAAGAAAAGCCTTATTGCAATGTTCAAAAAACACTTTGAGGATGTTGAGACATCAGTGTTTCCTGTAAAATGTTCCTGCAATGTAATGTGTCCACAAATGTAGAGCACTGTGCCTGTCATTACCCTAAGAAAGAAAAAAAGAAGAAGAGGAAGAAGAATATTCTCAATGGAACATCTGGAAAATGTTTATAAGGTTGTTGTTTTTTTTAAAGAGAATATTATCCTGCTTTTCAAGTGGAACAAAAAATTCGACCAAAATTTAGAATAATACAAACTCCAACACTAAACATGCATAAAAGATTTCTACAGCACCTGGTTTTATTTTGTTTTTATATCATCTGTTTAAAGAGAACTTTTCACCATTTATCCTTCAGTGTTGACAGGTTGTTAGATCAACATGTAACCTGCATCAGAGCCAAAGTATGGCAGTTTTAAATAAATCATTTTTTCTCAAATCACTTTTTAAAAGGCCGACTGTAATGATGTTACACATTTGATCGTCTAATCCTCCAAATCGATGAGTTGTAGCAGAAGATAAAATTTTTTAAAAAACAGACAGAACAGCCCTTTTTCCTCCAAGCAGGAAGTGTAGAGAGGAAGTGAGGTGTTCAGGCACCTGTGAGCTGAGTGGGGCAAACAAAGAAGGCATGGTGGACAGCACAGAGTGAAGCAAGAGTTGAGGAAAAAGGAGATTTTTGGAAAGACAAATCCAGCTTTCTGGTTGACTTTGCTTAAATTTGCATGTATTGAAGTAACTGGAGCAGCTGTGGAGCTAAAAAACAAAACAGCTGGATATGGGACATGTGGTCATTGAGAAACTGTGACTGTGAGCAGGACCGGATGCTTCTCATTCCACCACCTCTGGATGGATGTCTGAGCCGTGGTTGGACCGTGAGAGTGAACTTGAGATAAGTCTCCGTTTTTCTTACCAAACCTCCAGGCTTCTCCCCTTTCCTCTTGCCTTAAGTTCAGGCCACATTACCCTGTCGACTAGCCTCCTCTAACCTTCCTTAGCCTCACAAACACTCTCATATACACTCACCAACACCTTTAGAAACTGAACTGACAAGTTGAACGAAGTGAAACGTGCGAGTTAATTGAAATATGCTGACCTGCTTTGAACTGAACTGACATGACTTGAGTGAACTGAAGTGAACTGAGACGAGCTGAAATGAACCACAGTGAACTGAAATCACCTAAAATGTCCTACAGTGACCTGAAATGAAGTGAAATGACATTTTACTTGAGTTGATATTTAGTGGAAGTTTTTCTAAATGAATTAAGGAGCTTTTTTCATTTTTACACAGAAAAAAAAATAATTTTGTCTGTTTCTGATTTTTCGCTCAGATTCTGTTGATTGAATGGACTTTTGTCGATGAGATATTTTCCTGGTTGATTTTGACCGGGACCTGTCCACGGTCCGGGATAGGCTCCAGCCCCCCCGTGACCCTAGTGAGGATTACGCGGTGTATAGATAATGGATGGATGGATTTTGACCGGAGTGATGGTTAACGTAATGTAAAAATTTAACATGATTTTGATGACTGTGATTTTGTTCTATCTTGTGTGTTTTTATTTTTGTAGCAAGGGAGTTAATTTAGCTTCAATTAGTACTGAAAGCATCTTTTAACGTGCCAGATGAAGATGAACTCAGTTTGACTAAGTTGAATATACGGACACCCCTTCCCTACAGGTTGACCCCTAATTTCAATGTCAATATCCAGTATGTTTTACCCTCTGAACTCTAAAATGTAGTGGTGAGTTTAAAGGGGATTGTGGATTTAAAAACAAATTGCCAAAATTACAGCATTTATCACAACCGGAAATTGTAAAAACAACTCTGTGATGGTTCCCGAACTAATCATCTTCGTCAAAGAAAAAGCTTAGAGTCATGATGTCTGATCAGAATCACTATAGTCTACACTTTGCTTGTTCTAGCTGATTTTTAATTCTCACACTTGATATTGCAGTGAAAAAATGAATCCACAGTGAGTAAAATTTAGAGGGCTTCCTGGAAAATCAATCAGTTGATTGATCAAAATCCATAAACTAAACACTGACAATATAAACACGACCTAATTTTCACAGAAAAATTGAACAACATTGCTCACAAGTACTTAAAATATTTAAAAATGTTAAAGGTGTATACCATTGTATATATGTTGGTTTTTTTTTAATCTGTAATGAATTCTAATATATCTATATTTCCGTCTCATAGTTTTGCAAAAGGAACCTTTGCATTCATACATATCTTTCTTTGCTTTGAAAATTCAAAAAAAAAAACTATAGGAGTCTGTTCAATAAAGTGCTTACCTGAAGCTAACCTTATCAATGTCTGTGAATCTGCCTGTAACTCCACCGCATCAAGGCATAAATTTATGTCTACAGGGAGACTGATACAGGCGTGGTCTGCTAATCAAACTGTCTTATCAGTGCTGCTACCATACAGTACTGAGGAAGTCAGGAAGTAGACACGAGGGTAAACTTGTAAAACATTACACAACGCCAGTCCAATGTACATTTAGTAGAAAGCTCACAAATCAACCACATATTGTGTCTGAGTGTCCATTTGCGAGGCCGGATGTGGCAATCAGCTCGTATAGAAACTGACTTGGTGGTAGAGGGTTTGTTGGTCTTATCAGCTATCAGTCATCAGTCTTTTATTACTCTTGACTAATCAAAACATACAGGACTCGGATGGAAAACTGAAGGCAAAACCTCCCATTAGGGTTCAAATGACCTCACGCTGCTGAGACAGCCAAACAGACTGCAGAGGATCAGGTTGACGTTTAGTTGGCTCTGACTGAAGAGAAGCTGGATTTAAAAAAAATAAATAAATAATAGAAGATGAGAATTATGAAATCAGTCACTGGAAATACGTTCTGAATAGGAAAGTCAAATTGACCATCAAGGTTTGAGGAGGAATATTACCAGTGTACACTAGTGAGTGGACATTTGGAGGGTGATGGTGGACAGACAGAGCTGTTTTAATACTATGAATGACCATTTTAAAACATTTTCGGCTGTTCTAAGAGCAAAGTGTTCCACAAACTTTTGAAGCTCACCCCTCTCTCGCTGCCTCCTGTTTAATCTCATAAATCTCCTGTTTTCTTTACATTCCTTTACATTTCCCATATTTGATGCGCTTGTTGCATTTCCCATCAATAAAGCAGGCGGCAGTGTGCTGGGCAGCCCTATAGCCACACAAATTATCCGCCTTTCCCTCGCGTCCAAGCGGGTGTCCATGTTTGCCACTTGTGTCAAAACTTGTGTTCTCTCGTTTCCAAGTTTGATATCCGCAATAGCAGTAATGTAAGTCACTCTTTTGCAGTGCATCTGTCTATCGTCTCTTGATCTGATCAGTGCAGCTTTTCATTGTTCGTTTCTTGCTTGCTTGCAGCCGCTTTCATGACTGTATTGTGCTACTTTGTGCCTGATAAAAGTGAGAGTGAAATGCAACATGGTTTATAAACTCTGACAAGACAGCTGGTTTGCACAAAACTAAACTTTGGAGCAGCAACCTCTGCAGGGACCAGTCCAGACAATATATATGGGTGTGACTGCACTCCTCAGAGGTGCAGATCATTTTAAAACAAGATTGTCTCGTCTCTCAGTCGATGTTCAGTTACATCTCTGGACTTAATGGAAAACAACAGGTTGACGTTATAGGTGTATGTATTGTTAAATGGACAGATGGAGTTTTAGAGGAGGCAGGACTGAAGTGGAAGCACTGGTGTGTCAGCCTCTATGTTCAGGTAGGAGGGCCCCTTTTGCAGGATTTTGCTTCAGGCATCAGGGAGGTCAGGACTGACTCTGGAACTACTTAACCCAAAGAGCCCGTGTTATACACATTTAAAGGTTCCTAATTAGGGTCCGAGCACTAACAGTGCAAGGACCCCACTGAAACCGTTATTTGACGCAATTTAGAAACTCAAATTAGAGGGTCTAAACACTCACGAAAACTCACCAAAATCGCCACACACACCAGGACTGACGAAAAATTTGATATTTTAAGGGAGTTGGACATGTCACTGCCAAAATGGCTCCACAGCGCCCCCTTGAAAATTTCAACAGAGTCCCGTCAGAAGCACATTTGGCCTAGAGCTACGCAACTTCATAGGCATATAGAGCTGGTCGGCACGAACAAAAAAGTCGCCAAGCTCTAAAATGCAATACGGTTCAACGGCGCCCCCTGTAATATTTCAACAGAGTCCCAGCGCGGCTACTTTTCACCTACAACTGCAAAATTCGGCACACATGTGTAACAACTTGTGACACACAAAAAAATCCATTAGCATGTTTCTGTAAACCCAACAGGAAATCCGCCATGTTGGAAAAACGGCGAGCATGCCGGGCCATTTTCGCTCAAAAATGGCCATTTTTGGCCATTTTTGAAAATCGATCTCTTCCTAGGGGGTATGTTGTACAAACCTGAAACTTTACACGAGCGCTCCGAGTCTCAGCCAGAGTGCGTTTCCGCCACGGCCAACACGCACGCCACCGCGGCTCGCCACTAAACAGGAAGTGGCTAGTAAGTTTGTGCCACATCCTGACGCGCGCGAAGGCCGACAATCGTACGGCGAGGACCCGTCCATCGCCGTTGCGGCTTTAATTTTATTTTTGAGGTCTACCAGAAGAAGATTTTTTGTGAAGTGTACAGACAGAACAAAAACGCATCTGTTTTTATAAGTTAATTAAGAATCCGTTCGTACATGTTTTCATTAGAGTGTGTCAATTAGGTTTAGCTGCAAACTGATTAACAACGCAAGACTGACCCAGAACCTGCAGTCAAAAACAGAAGGAAAAGGCCGGGTGGACACAGTTTGATGTCTTAAGATGTATTACTTATCTTGTGCAATTTAAATTGTAAATTGACTATTTGGCCTGCGGCTGAAAACAAAAATTAACAAGACATTGTGCCTCTCCAGTATGAGTAATGGCCTCAGCCTAGTCACCCCTATAAAAGTTGTCTGGCTCTGCTATTGCTTCCAGTCTATGTGTAAGAGGTATGTGGACTTTGGTATGGGTGCTGGGGTGGGACGCTGGAAAAATTCAGCTGTTTTTAAATCCTAATGTTGACAGGTGTGATTGTTTTGAGTTGGTCTGATTGGAAAAATGTATTATGTGACACGGGGAAGTCACATATTTGCTCAGTCCACGATAACTGACTGTAGTTAAAGGTTGCTTTCATAAAGAACACTGAAGATGTGAAATGTCAAGACTAATAGCCTCAGTGGTTCCTGTGAAAAGCAAATAACTTATTTCAGCTACTTTTTCTGCATTTTTCAATCAGTTAATATTTGCTGAGCAGGGCTTGGTTCCTCAAGTAAAGATGACCCCGGTATGTCTGTCTTGGGATGGTGAGGATTTTAAAAGTGCATTCACTTCATTTTAATGCTCTGCAAAAGGATGCGCTCCTCCTGTATGCTTAAAAAAATCATAGGTGAATATTTCAGACAAAATGTGGTTACTTTCCTGCAGAGACTTAGATGAGAACATGAGTATCGTTCTTATCCAGGTAACATTAAAGCTACAGTACGCCGATGCTTGGTTAGCTTAGCTTAGCATAAAGTTTGGACACACGTGGAAATGGCAAACTTTGGTGTTGTTTAAAGGTTAAAATTTTTTTTCCAAAAACTCAGGAACATAACCAAAATCACAGTGTGTCATTAGTCCCATACCGTCACCTGTTTCCAGTTTTTATGCTAAGCTAAGCTAACCGTCTGCTGGTTTTACAGTAGCCCTGGTTTTTAGTGAATTTGTTGTCACATTGTTTTCTTATCTGTTAAAGAAATACTTTATATACAAATATATCAGTAGTATTTAGCTTGTTCACTACTTTCTCAGTTCAGTTTTTTTTTTTAAATATTATTATTATTGATGGATTATCTGAATTAAGGCTGTAATCCTTAGTTAAACATTGGGACAACAAGGTTTAATCAGGTGTTTAGAAGAACACAAAACATCAGTTACTGCTGCTGAGCCACATGTGTAAATGCACACATGACCCTAAATCTTAAGAAGCAGCCATGTGATGCTGTAGATACTTATTAAAGCCAAAAGAAAGAACCTAGACCCATAGCCAGCTGTGGGCAACAAACAGAGCTTTGGTAGGAGTATGTACTCTTCTGAAAATGTCACGTTTCAGTTCAGTCTGAAAGCAATTAATAGCTGTGTTTGATGGACATGTCAATATGTCTTGAAGTAGAAACTTCGCGGTTACTTGGTCGCCTGGGTCACGGTGTGTGATGTTGAGAAACCAGGGATGCATGATGACGCCAGGAAGCATCAGCAATGGTGTGTTCAGGTGAACCAACATGACGTACCATGTGTTAGAAGAAGTATTATAGGAAGCCTACAATACGAGGAAATGAAAGAAGCATAATACTTATTGGGAGCCTCTTAGAGGTTAGCTGTATACGTAGGAACCAATCTTTATCTTGTTACGTGTTCTGTATGGAAAGGTGAAACGTTTTTTTGTGGTTGCTGCAAGAGTTGAAGGGTCTGTGAGTGCTTGTTTGTGATGTATTATAAAACACATTCAAGCTGAATTAACCGGATGAATGACAAAGGAATATAAATTGATCAAGTGAAGTTTTTTTTCTCCGACTTTGATTCAGGGAACTACATGTCAGTCAGATCATCTGTGGCTTCAGTTGTTGACTTAGCCTCTACATACATGAAAATTGATTTGTCATAGTGCGGAGCTCTGGTTTTTTGCAGTTGTACTCTCTGCAGTTCTCATTCTGCACCCGTTTCTCTGCAGAACCTATTGTATAACGACAAATTCTCTCCTCCCGCTGACGCTCCACATTCAGCTCTGCTCTCTTACATTAGTTTTTCAGTAGTAGGAAAGGGGCTCTGCTCTAAATATTTGAGGCAAGGAATCAGCTGTGGAATGGAAATACATTTTTAAAAAATAATTAGGAATTAAGAACAGACAGATTTGTGGACAGGGTTCACCAACGGAAGGCATTTTTAATTTGTTATATTACGGGAGACGGATTTGTGCTTTCTCAACATTGGGGAGGATGCAACCCCCAAAAAGAATGTGTGGCTACACCCTAAAGTGCACAAGCACTTATGTTTCCTCTAGTGGTTGGTTTGTTCTAATTTTATTTTATGTCCATGTTATTTTACATGTATAGTGTCCACTGAGAACATGCTACATCATATCAACCAGTTATTCCCCGAATCACACCGCAATGTTATGTTCAGTCTATTTGTATTGACGGCACACATGCAGTCGTCCTCCCTACCTCTCACACAGAGTAAGCATCCAGGACGCAGTGAGCCAGAAGAACAGGATGAAGACCAGCAGTGCGCGTCCTGGGTGCTGGTTCATCAGTACCTTGAGAACAAAGCGACAGGTGAAGTTGATATTGTTGAGTGAGCCGATGCTCCTGTAGGAGGCGCTCAGCAGCACTTTGCTGTGCAGCAGGATGGCTCTGTGCACCAAGTACAACCGCAGGAACATCAGCAATGACAACAGCAGCTCCATGCTCAACATGGCCTCGCCGTGGTGACTGGAAACACAGAGCTGAGCCGAGGAAGAGGAGTTGCCGGGCGGACCCTCCTCCCAGTATGATCCGACAGGATGGATGGCGCAGACCAGCAGCTCCAAGGTGATCACAAGGATCCTGTGGCTGGTCATGGCGGTACGCCAGTCCACGTGGTTGTGGTTGTCAATGATAAACAGCTGAAAGAAGGGGGAGGACAGTAAAGACAGTGACAGAAGAGAAAATGATAAAAGTGTTCATGGAGGTGCTGAAAATACAGTCACAGCTTAACGTCTCAGCATGTAATGTGGAAACATAGAAATCAGATACATCCTTGGATTTCTTCTCTGAAACTTGAAACCTTTCAGTTTATTTGTTACAAATATAAAATCCTGTGTTCCAGCTGGTTCAAATACATATATGAGGATACTTCAACAAGTTGTCGGCCTAACCAGAAAGCAACTCAGGAGAGAGATTGTTCTCGCATTATTTTTCATGGACTTGGTCCACCGATGTATTGTGAAAGAAGGGTCACATCTTGAGCCTCCAGATACTCCTCAACAGCATCATCTCTTTTAAAAAAGTTTGATTCTGTTTGGGGAAACAGAAGTCAGACAATGCGGGTCGGATGAGTAAAGTTCATGGAGCAACAGTTCAAAGCCACATTTGGCTGCTTCTGCCGTCTTTGCAGTGCAGACAGATCCATTATCCTGGAGCAGCAGCAGCCAGCTCCCGTCCTCTCCTTTTTTTCTTTGATTGCTACAAACATTTGAGTTTTTGTGGACAGTGAGGCCCCAAAATAGGAGTTATTCCCCTTGTTTACAGGTGAAGCTGATAACTTTTTGAAGTAACCCCATTCTGTGACATGCTGAGGGATGCATATGTGAACGAACATACTGGTGACAAATTAAAGGACAAGCCAACATAAAGAGTTTCAGTAAGGTGCTGGTCCTCCACATGCTGCCACAACAGCCTCAGTGCACTGATTCTCCAAGTCCCTGAAACTCTACTGGAGGGACAGAACAGCATTCTTCCAAAAGATTTTCCTTCATTTGGTGTTTTGATGATGGTGGTGTACAGCACTGTCTAACACATCTGTCCACAATAGCCAATATTTGTGAGAATGGTTCAAATCTGGTGATTGCAGACACCTAATTATGTCTACCAAAAGTTCTGTTCCAACACAACTAAACTGCATTCTCATTATGTTTTGAAAGAAACAGATTTTCTCTCAGAAAGGTGGCACTGCGACTTTCACCCCGGAGACTGGGGTTTGTGTCCCATGTGGGATTATTTATTCTTAGACTTTTGTTTTCACTCACAGTTTGGTGAGGTTTCTGCACCAAAATGACTTGGCTAGGGTCAGGAAAATAGCACAGTTGGGTTAAAATATGACCCTTTCACAACATGGGTGCGCTCCAATACCCACGCTGTCATTCATATGTGCCAATACCTGCAGTATGCCAAAAGAAAACCAGGATGGGCGTCGACATCTGATCTCATTTTGCAGCATGCAAGCCAGCATGCTTTTCTACATGTCATACATCACACTTCCTTACCTGAGAAAGAAACAGATGTATGAGCATGACAGTCAAAGGTAGAAAGAAGAAGCATGTGCTAACTGCATGTATAATGAATACAACAGTATGCGCTTTTTTTTTAGGGCAGCTGTGGATGTAATGAAAGAAAAAAAGAAAAGAGTTGGAATGTATGGCATGTTTGAAGGCTCTCCTTCATTTTCTAACAGGACAAGTCCTGTCACATCTAATTTGTTGGCTAAAGAGGAACAAGAATCTAAACCTGAGAATGCAATTTAGTTGAGTTGGAAAGTCATTTTTTTGATTCACATTAAACCATTCAATCAAAACAATGTTTGATTCTAGTGTGAAGGTAATCAGTCAGAAGAACTTTGTGATGATTGGCAGCGACCTGTCTCACTGAATAGACCCAAACTATGCCAGAAAAATGCCTCCCACAGCAAAACAGAGGCCCCAGATCCCCTCACAGTAGAGCCCACCCTTTAATTTGACACCCTTCTGTATGTCATTGCGTCATAGGCAGAAAGAATTGAACGCAAAGGGTTGTGATAAGGAATTCATTTGAAGCTTCTAAAGATATGAGCCACAGATATCTGCAGAATCTGTGAGTTAAACCATTTTTTACAAACAAGGAAGTAAGAAGTTTTTTGTCTGCGCAACATACAGGTTTTTTGTGCAACAGTTTGTTCAAGAGGATTTTATTCATTAATGCTTGTTTGGCACTGAAACATCCTGATGTTCTTGGACAATTTGGTCTGTCGCCTCTCACACTAAAGTATGAAAGCTGCACCAGGCATTCTGTTTTAGTCTCCACCCTAAAGCTTCCCTTCCTCTCCGCTCACCTCTTCTATCAGATGCTCATGACTTACAGCCAAACTAAAAACTCAGGAGGTGAGAGCACCAAAAAAACCCCTAAAAAACACTGAGTCCCGAGAAGCAGTTCAGCATTTATTCCTAATGTGGGGATGCTTTCTGCACTTGTTCGTACTGCACGTGATCGAGCACACACGCTGCGAGTGTGTGTGAGGGCAAACCAAAGACTGTTTACCCTGTTTAATTTCAACCAAATCCCCTCATGCATATTGAATTCACACACAGCGGCAGCGAGCCATGTGGACTGGAAAAACATCACAGCTGCAATAGTGTGCATGCCTGTGTGGGCTGAGGTTTTCCTCCAGGGTTGTTTTTTTTTTTTTTTTACGCATACAGCAACTATAACACAGATAATCAGTGTTGAGGCTACCGTCAGCGGACCGAGAGCTCCTTTTGAAACGAGTGCCCTCAAGTATCTTTAGCGAAATACAACTCTGACCATGCTAATTTGGAACAAACGGTACTGATGATGCACAAATTGCAGCGTGCAGATCAACAATGCCCAATCACACAGACACGCGCCCTTTCACTCGGACACACACACCGCATCCACCAAAGGGGGAAAAGGCAAACTCACCCTGATGTCTTTATAATGGAAAGCTATAATGAGGATCAGGAGACACCCAGTGGACAGGCTGATGGAAGAGTTGATGACTAAGGCGGTATTTGAGCCCTGGGAAGAAAACAGAACCAAGAGAGATAAATCAGGGTTTTGTGTAAAAGATGAAATGTGATTTGTTTCCATTAACGTCAAGGTTGTATGAAGAACTTCTTCAGCTGAGAGGTTTCTTACTTCCACTGTGCCACTGACATTGATGGAAACGTAGCAATCAAGTGACAGAGCTCATTATAATATGAAAAGAGAGATACGATCACCTTTCAAGTACTGTAGGACTTGGCAAACTAGATTTATACCACTTGCTGTAAATACTGCATATTAAATCGCACAGATAGCAACACTAACAACCACAATGAGAAAATCAGTGGTAATGTTTTTTCTCTCTGTTTCTTCTCTGTTTTGTTTGGAATGACTATTTTAAATGAAGCTGCGTGGACAAACCAAGAAACTAGAAGTGGCTTAACTACAAGTGGGACTTGATCCCTCACCAGCTTCCCACCGAAGAACAGTTGTGCTGCAAACCGAACGTTTCCATTCAGTCGGTGACGACTTTTTCATTTGCGCTGTGCAGCCAGAGTGGAACCTTAACTGACTTGTACTTTTGTTATTTCAGACAAAATCTGGTACAAACTTGCATCAAATCTAGTTTGCAGAGCTCTAAAAATGTGACATTAACTCAGTTAGTTGATCAACAGAAAACTGTCACTTAACAATTTTCATCAATAATTACTTAAAATACAAATATTCACAGATTTTGGCTACACAATATTGGGATAAAGTGGATTTCAGGCGTTTATATGACTATCACTCATATTTGAGTTGCCCCAAAATACAGGACAGTAACGAAAAATTACCATCTTATAAAAATACAGTGTTGCATCATAATTAAAATATATTTTCTAGCCTTAATTTTATGAGATTTTAATGAGATCTTGTGTATTTTCTGCATTTTTAATACTTATTGAAGAATATTTACATGTGTAAAAACTGTTAAATCATTATGCTATAAAATATATATGTAATAATATTGATTAATTTACAGACAATATAATAAAAACAGTATTTTTTGTTTACAGATTACCACTGCTTTTAGGTATTAAAGATGAATGAAAACACATCTATTCAACATTTTAGGTGTGAAAACTTCTGTAATTATACATGTTGCCCTTAATTGTCACTAGTTGTATTTAATTTTAGATCATGATTATTCCGTCTAAGTGCAGCCCTGTGATAGACTGGTGACTTGTCCAGGGTGTCCCCTGCCTTCACCTTAAGTCGACTGGGGTAGGCCTCCAGCCCCCCACGACCTTAGTGAGGATTAAGCGGTGTATAGATAATGGATGGATGGATCATATTTGGTGCTATTTTACATTACACAAACCAAGTTAGTCTGTTTTTGTGATTTTATTGGCATTTGTGTGCATTTCCTAGATAAAGTTTAAAACAAAATCCTTCACCCTGAGTTTTGTGACAGTTTTCAGACTAAATTATCATCAGTTGATTGAAGAAATAATTAAACATTAATCAATTAATTAAAAAAAAAGTAGTCTCACCACCCTAAAGTGGGATTAAATAGTGAATATCTAGGATTCTTGGCATGCATATTACAACGCATGCAAGACAAATGTACTGTTCTCACTGAGTGTGCTTTCTACAATCATAGCTGATGGATCTTTCTCTAGCGTTCTTAAAAGCACATTATCCGCCTTTTTGTATAACAAAGCATTTGTCTGAGTTTTCTTTTCCATAAACGATGATTTAGAAACATTTGAGTGGATTATTCTTCTGATCGCAATGCAAGAACATAACTGCAGGCTACGCTGTCATTCTTGCCTTTCCGAGAGTAGCTTCATTAAAAATTTACAATAATTAGGCTTAATGAAAAAGAAATTACTTATTCTATAATGAACTCCAAAAAAAGCACATTAAAAAAAAACACTCCGTGACAGAAACGAGCGTGCTTGTAATTAAATACTTTCCACTCCAGGGAGCTGACAGCTTGAGACACAGATGTACGCACCATGACCGTTTCCTCCATCATAGAAACTGGCTTCACAAACTGAACCAGGACCTAATTACAGGCCTCTGCAGCACCACCTTGGTCTCAGCAGGTTAAAGAGCACCTATATCCTGGACTCAGGCATCTCAGTGCAAGTGATGCAACGTCAATGGAAGTTTTTAACGGGAAGTGCAGTTTAATGTGGTTTACAGTTAAAAAGATAATTACAAACTTTCAAACTTGAGGAAACTCGAGCGTGTAGGTGGTACGGTGTGACGTCCGTTGGCAAGGTACATTGTTTTCCACAGTTTCTCCCGTAGCATCCACATCATGTCTGTGTTTTATCCAGGACTAATTAGAAGACCCCACAAAAGCTCAACATTTCACCACACACCATAACAGAGAGTTCAACAGCGTGATTCTTTGCTGAGTTTCTAAAACTGTTTTTGTAACATTTTCCTGTTGGAAACAGTCATTTCAAGCCTGGTGAATCTAATTTGGGTTAACTGTAACACGGATTGTTTCTCATAGCCTTGGACAGACACTGAGCCACTGTCACCAGAACAGGCCACCCAAGGGATAGCGAATGAATTAAAATATGACACACGGAATCCAATGCAAGAGAAGGTGGTCTGGTCTGTTTTGTTCTGTAATAAATAAATACTTTCCAAAACACTAATACGTGCATCTGACTTTAGTTTTCTAATTTGGTTCGTTAACCAGTGTGACTTCATCAGCTTTCCTGTAGATTCTGTGAACAGGCTTACAAATACTAGGAGCAGGTAAATGTAAGGACACGTTACAGACGGTAAAACATCTGCAGGTTGACTTAAAACCAACCACAAAACTGCAAAAGGCACTGCACAATCACTGCTGGGTGCTACAGACACCTGCAGTGCACATTTGGAAGAATATTACAGTAACATCAGACAATGTTAAAGATTTCTTGGTTGGTTTTCACCACCATAAATCAGCACTGCAGCTCGTCTTGATGATTCCTGCACTGTTCTTTAGAGAACTCACCCAGATATCATGTGGGTTGGAGCTGAGCTGAACTGGATAGTCACAACCCAGCTTCCTTTGTGCTGGCTTTGTTGAGCTTTGAGGTCACAGGTAGTTCATATGTTATTATGTGAGCAGCATACTGGTTTGTGTGTTTTTGCGTGTAAGCCATGTGCACCAGGTTTCAATGTGTGGGCGTGTTGCTACCACATTGCATCATGCTGTCAAATAAATGTGAAATTATGACCCATTTCACAAAAAATGTGCGTTGCTGCACATAAGAGAGCTTCGCATTAATGCTTTTTACTGCACTGCTGTATGCCCGGATAATTGTTATATTACACTGATTGATCGTGATGAAATGTTTCTACTAATTTCTAATCTTTTTGAACTGTAAAATAATGAAAATCATTATACTCCTGTTTTTTTTTTCTTTTCTTTTCTAATCATTGCTAGATTATTGCAGTGGCTTGAGTCCAGACAGAACATATTTGAGATTTTGTAGATTTACTGCAGCAGCTCACAAGCAAGTATAGTTAATGAATCATAACTTGCAAACAAGGAAACTGCCATCGATTTGCATCAGGACTTTCCTCCACATCCCTGGACGGATGGTGCTTCAAAACAGCAAAGCATGTAAAATCAGAACAGAGAATGGAAAGTATTGGAAAGAAAAGCAAGCGGCGTGCAGCGTTAGAATGCAAACAGTGAATAAAAAGCTAAACATGCTGAGCTGTGCTTTCAACATGGCAACATATGATCAAATTTCTCTCTAAATTAAAAAATAAACTATCAAGGCAGCAAGGTCAGAGGACACCATCTGACAAATACAAACAGAAAACAAGGCGAGCAAATGGTGAGAAGGTGTGATGGAAAATCTGTTTAGTGGGATGCTCTTTAGCCAAGTTTAAATTATAGACAAAGTGATGACTGGCAGGAGTCGCTGTATCATATATTTGATAGAAGGATGCTCCAAAAATGTGTCTTTGGGACAAGAATCTGACCAATTTATCCCCAACATTTATCAGAATTATGAAAGCGGTTGAGGTGTTAATCCATCAAGAATGTGTAGCGTTTTGCTATTTTTTTCAGCAAGAGGAACCACATTGAGGAAGCCTATTAGAATCACAGTGAAGTGTTAATTCATTGTGATTCTGCAGGTTGAGTTGTTGTGTCTTTTGTAGGAGATCTGCACAGTTACGTGAGACTAAATTGCAACATAAAAATAAATCTTGGTGCAACTGAAATTGCTTAAGCTGAATTTGGTTTTTGCATTTTGTTTTCAAGTCTTGGAATCACACAGAGTTAAGCCAACAGAGCTCATCAAACACAAACTAGGCACCGTGCTCAGCCTCAGTGTGCGGGTGCTGTTTTGAACTACGGTAAAGTTGCAGAAAAGATGTCACGAGGTTGCACCCAGGTCAAAGAGCACACTCCTGCCACTAGCACAGCCAAAGCCAAGACACAGAAACTCCAAGACTGGCCACGCAAACACTATAATTACCCACTAAATGATGTGGAAAGATAGCCTGAAGTACTGTTAACAATCTCGCTGTAGGGGAAGAGGTGAAATGTGGAAAAACGTTCCATAAATAGCCCTGTTTTCGTGCATAACCATGAAAAGGTATGTTTAAATATAACTCTGTAGACTGGTGTTAACTTTGATGGAGCAGCTCCAGACGCAGCTGCAGCACACTTAAAAATGCCATTAAAATTTTAAAAAACAAACAATTTTTTATTATAGTGTCAGTCCTCATTTGACAGCTCATGACCTGCATTAAGTATACAGATGAATGCTGGCGATAGTTATATAAGCGCTGGTTAAATCAGCGGCGCAGCAGCTCCAAAATAATATGCTTTAACTGCAGCATAGAACACTTTTCCAGTGCATCAGCATTTCCACAGCATCAGAGCTGATGCCTGTTGTTAGGAATGGTCTGACAACACCTGTTCTTGGTTCCTATTTGTAAACTGGAACCGCAAAGCCATGTCTGTGCCAATGCCGTTCATTTCACAAGCACATTTCCCCAGGTCCAACCCTTCTGAACGCATCAGGCATATTTGCGAGGGTCAGGCAATATTTCCATAAGTTTGTCAAACGAGTGTATAGTTTAGTTGTGTGTGTGTGTGTGTGTGTGTGAGTGAAATGTGGGGCTCTTTGACACTGTAATCAATCACTGGCTTCACAGCATGGAGGTGGTCTGATGTTTTGCGGCATGCATGAGAACTTTTTTCCACATGTGGAACTGGCGTGTGCTGTAGGAAGTCAGGGGGAGTTAATAATTTGTTGATTGTGTGGCCTGGCATTGTTATCCACTGAGATCTGCATGTTAATGTCATGAGGCTGTGCTACCAAAGAGTGTGTCTGGAAATGGACTAACTAATCAGTAGGTCAGGGAGGTTCAAAGCCCAGGTGCAGTTTTCTGCCGTCGTGCTGCATGGGGTTTGTGTTGCCTGCTAATCAAGAAAGTTGTTATGACAACAGATATAGCCAGTTGTGTAAGGGTGTTTTTTCCACACCAATTATGGTGAGTTGAGTTACTGAAATATGTCAAGTATAAAAGACAACACAGGTTAATATGAATTCTGTTTAGAGTGAAAGAGTATCATGAGAACAGCTGCACAAGGAGACGAGCAGCAGAGCAGCAAGTGTTAACAGGCTTTAGTTCCTGCATGATGCTGAAAGCAAGGTAGCTGATTATTTGATGGTGAGTTCAAGGGCCAACATTAATATACCTTGAGCAGCAAAGTGAATTTAATGTTATTGTGGCTGCTATTTCCAGTGCAGAGCAGAGCAAAAGCGAATAAAGATGCTTTAAAAAGCTTTGCAATGTGCCCAAAAAGACAAAAACAACAATCAGCTCAAGTTTTGAGTGGATTTGTGAAACTCTACTGAAAATTCACTGAGATGCATAATGTGCACTTCTCATTATACATAATATATTCTCATTATACATAATGTATTATGAGGATTGTAGTGGGGACCATGCTGTAAGGATACAGCTGAAGTGACAACAAAAACACATCTCAAAAGATTCTAGATTTTGATTCTGGAGCGATTCTTACATATTACATCCCAGTTGGATCAACTTTCCACTTGCCCAGACATCAGTGTTGGTTAATTTACTTTAACCTACCGGTTTATAAACAATGGGACACATTTCGGCGTGGATTATCATGAGCAGTATCCCGAGCAGAGCGCTGCCCAGCGCCAATGCGCACAGACGCTTTCTGTCCTCTAATAACAACTTTCTGTCTCGCAGCCTGTACAGGTCGTCTCCCTCCATGTGAGTTGTCCGCTTCCCGGGAAGTGGCACGGACACTTGGGCCGAGTCCCTGCAATTTTGACTGACCAAGCCATCGCAGTTTTTGACATAATCCACCTTGGAGTCGCCGAGCAGGCTGCGGTTTGTCATCTCCATCTCCAGAGCGCACACGACCCGTCCGCCTGCGTCGTCGCCGCTCTCCGCTGCTCCGTCCTTCGCCTGTCCGGTCTCCCCTTTGCTTTCCTCCCGAGTTGGGAAAGGCATAGTCCGATGGGAGAATCGTGTACCGTGCCCTTCTCTCGTCCGTTGCTCATCGAAGTAGCGGGTTTACCAAAACGCTCCAACCGACCGGCGCGGCGTGGTTACGCGCACTGATGCCATGTGTACACTGCATCGGGCTCCTGCGCTCTTATTTGCATGTCTTATTGTTGCGAGAGTGTGCGTCAGTGTGCCACAAATGAATTCTTTGCGCACTCGGGTGTGCGTGTGCTCGTCATGTGTGTGATGCGCACTCAAGGAATCAAAACGCCTCTTTGCACTGAAGCATAGGAAGGCTGCAGGTTCACTGAAATAGTAAGAATTTGCTTTTTTTTGGTCCTCATTTTATCAGGAGAAGGCTGATCAGATAAGATGCATTTTGGTAGAAAAACATGTAAACAACATACAAAAAGAAAAAACTGTTACTATCAGGGATCAAGCCAAGTGACTTCCAAAAAGGTATTCTATAAAAGTTAAATAATATACACTCAAGGAACCTGTTTTTTTAGAAATGTTGCTACAGTGGTGCCCCCAGGTTCCACAACAGCTACAGAGACTTGTTGACTGACTTGTTGCTGCATATATTTTTCTCTTCTTTAATGCTTCTCGCCTTTTGGTGGTCATTTATTGGTGCACCTCCCAAGCGTGGTCTAACTGCTGTGCCATTTTCTCCATCTTACCCAGTATTCAGCTTATTTTGACAGTGCCAAGATGAAGACCTCCTTTCAAAAACCCTCCACAAGCCAAACAAAAAGCAAGAAGCAGACTCTCCCATCGCCCCTCTCTAGTCTTCTGGGTCTGTTGAAGGAGGAACAGCGTCATGACCTTGGGCTAAATGACGCAAACATGCACACAGCGTTACTTCCGCTGCAGCATCCTGCTGATCCCTGCTGACGGTAATGACTGTCCTCACAGCTCTGTGACAGGATGAGTCCAAGTCAGCCCAGGCTGACAGGTGCTTTCACAAAGAAACACATGCAACACAGCAGCAAACACACATTTCTGAGTGTACAAATGAACACAAGTTCCATTTTCAGGTAGGAGCTGGTTTAATTTGCTGTAACGTGAAGGCAAACGTAAAAAGGTGACAGCAAGACAGTGAACACACAAGCTACAAAGTGGCATAAATAAATATCCATTGAAATACAACGGAGCGAGCTAAACATGCGGGTTGTTTCCGGGGTGTCGCAGATTCTCACAGCAAGGAATGTTATTTACAACAAACGCAGCTTTAAGCCAGCAGGTTTTCCATGAAAAAGAAGCACAGCTAAATATTTCACCGACGAGAGAAGCTTTTCTAAAAACAAGTTTGTGTTCTGAGATTTGCAAGATACAGCATCCACAGTTGATAAAAAATATACAACTTCATGTATTTGATGAGACTTGAGCGCCATCCACTGGTGGCCAAATAAATTACAACAAAAATAGTAAGAGTAGAAAGTGTGCATCAGTCTATAGTATCTAAATTCTATTATTTACAGGCAGTTTAGTAAAAAATATCTTCTTAATATACAGATATCATCAGTCTAACTACAATAGATTAAAACCCTGAATCACATTGTACAGTGATTGACTGTGACGTACACACAGTGAACCATATTTGGTGAGAGAACTGGCTAAACAGACGACCGTAGAAAGGTAATTATTTGGCTTAAATATATTGCTGAGAGTTCCTGAGTTAGTCCAAGCACCCAGTGACTGAAGTCATTCGTAATGAGAAAAGTTCCTTTTTTTAAAAAAAATAGCAGTGCAGACATGACAGATTAAATAGTTTTCACTCGAGTCCAGCGGCGTCTCTGTGCTGAGAGCAAGAAATGACAAAGAAAGAAACTATTACAGGCTGTGCAGGGAATAACTATAAACCGTACAGTTAAAAATGTTCTTTTCTTGGCCCAAGTTTAGCTGAACTGACATCCCATGGCTCAGTCGAAGGAGCTTCTAAATGCTCCGTTTTGCAGCTCGTGGACGGTCTAACCCTTCACGGCTCCCCAAGGCTGCAGGGCGGCTTGAGGCACGATGAACTGTGGGGACGCCTGCGGCAAGATGTAGTAGCCGAAAACCTGCTGGGGCGGAGGTGGCGGCGGCGGAGGGGCGCACACCGTGGTGAGGAACACTGGAGCAGCCTTCTTGTACTGAGGCCAGACCGGTGTGGGGTGGTAGAAGTACTGGAGGCTCGCTGGGAGCTGAACAAACAGAGATTGGAGGGAGGACAAGAGATTAGCAGGGAAGGTGGAGATCTGTCAAGCACACTTTGTCTTTATGGGAGGAACAAATGGTACTTTCCTTTCTACTGAAACATTATCACATGGGAATGACTTGGCAAGCAGCTGATATGCTTAAAAATAACATAGGTAAAACAAAAACATTTTTTTGGACTTTTTAGAGCTGTACAGAAATATTTAGGTCTCTCAATATTCACCATAAGCGTGTCAACGTGTCAAAAATCTACTCAACAAAGCAATCTTCTTCTGTTCTACCACATACAGTTGATGTGGTTAAGATGGTTTCATATTTACAACAAACCTAATCTATCGGTCTCCAGCGCTGAGGCCATAATCTTAAAAACGGTGCCACAACTATTGTAGTTTTGCATTAGAAAAGCTTGGTAAATGTGGATTGATACGTATTTTAGAGTCTCAGCGAACACTTCATTTATTATCCAGTCAGTATTTATGGAGGCTGGATGGTGTACGTAGAACTGACTCAAACTAAATTATTGTTATTATTATTATTACTATTGTTGTTGTTACTGTTGTTGCTGATGTTGTGTTGGTGTTGTGTTGTTTTTCTAGTACAACAATTTCCCTGAGGTTTACACCGAAGGGATCAATAAAGTTTTATTCGATTCTATTCTAAATGTTCATGGTGATGAAAGCACACGTCATTCCCTGCAGCGCTGTGGCTTCAAGATGAATTAAGCTCTATGACGCGGACAAATATCTATATTTGGATTTGGCTGACGCGACTGAGCAGGATGCTGTGAATTACCAACAGATGGAGGTTAAAAACAAGACAGGGAAATTACCATATTTCTGACGTATTTCACTTTATTTGGTCCATCTCCATGTCGCTTCCGAATCCTGGGCACCATCACTATCGTGTAGGTGTCGCCTTCTGCATCTTCCTTCTTCACGGCCTCCTCCTCTTTTTCCTGCTCGCACTCGGTCTCGCCGTCTTTCGCCTCCTCCTCCGTGTCGCTGGATGCGGTGGAACCGCAATCCGAAGAGGTAGCAGAGTGGTAGTCTGAGGTGTCCAGGTTTATGGAGTCCTCCGAGGCGTCGTCTTGGTCTCCCTTCGCGCCTTCATCGTCCTCCTCGTCCTCTTGTTCGCTGAAGCAGGCTATTGTGAAGGGCCTGCTGTTCTCTCCAGACCTGTGAAAGGGAGCGGATTACTTTAAAACCTCACATAGGGTTGAATGACAGGTTGTTTTGTTTGAAAAAATCCCCAAAATTACACAAACTTTCATAGCAAGAAACTGTAAAAACAAGAATTTTCCATGTCCATGAATAAGTCATGTGCAGCTTTTGGTTTTGTCTGGGAACACAAACAAATCTAACCAAAAAATGTAGACGACTCATCAAAATCAAGATAGTCTACATTTAAGAATTTCTCTAAAATTAATCGTTTGCCATAACCGGATTTTGTCAAAAACACAAAATTCTGCAGACCTCGGCACAACCGACAAGCCTTTAGGGACTAAGTAGTGACCAACAGTCAGGTGAAAACAATTCAGAGTTTGTGGCTAAACCGGGCTGAACTGCAGGCTGTGTTTACACAGACCAGATAGGAGACAAACGCAGGTGGAAACAAATGCAAATACAGGTAGTAAAATATCTTTAGTGTGTGGAACCACTATGTAGTTATTTTTCCAGTGATGGCGAGACTGTAGGCACTTTGAAAAATGCTTTACATGTTGATTGGAAGTTTTCTTTTTTTGAAATTTCTGTAAAATTAGTAATGAAAGAAATTCAATTTTCTTTCTTTCCTTTTTTTTAAAAAAAGTGATTAAAGGCATTCTGACTGTGCCATACTGCACGAAAGACACTTCTGAGTTCCCTCTACCTCTAGTCATGGTTGTGTTGTTTCCATGGAGGTGTCAGACTTTATAATGCAGTAAGAAAAAAAGAGCCCAAAGTGAGTGAAAATGCAACAGGACCAAACACGCCCAGAAACTGCTTGGAACTCAGAGGGTTAGCCCCTGTTCGATCCCCCACGCGGTTTCATTTACGGTTCCTCTGAATGCCTCATGACGACGACTCACTCGTAATGCTTGGCTAGGCGGAGAAATGCCTGCTGGTTTGCTGAAACGTGTCTGTCTGTGTCATTTTGCCTCAGAGGGTCAGCCAGTGACTCACCTCGCGCACACCTCCAGCGGGTCGATCCACAGCGTGATCTCAGACGGAAGTCCCAGATCGCTGGGCGTGAGCTCGCTCTCCTTACATGCCCTCAGGACGGCTTCATCGCAGAGCACGCCGTTATTTATCCGAATGCATCTGTAAAGGATCAAGCGTTAGGAGTTCTGCTCTGCAACAAAGCGATGAATAAAAGATAACATGCTGTTGTGTTTGTGGGAGATGATGATGATGATGATGATTACCTGTAGGCCTGGCCTTTGCTGGGACACTCAGGGTACCAGTGGTCTTCATAGCTATCACATAAAAGCTTCTGCAGCTTCTCAGCAAACACTTCTGCTTTGGCCTCGTCGAGTTTTCCACGTGCCACAGCCAGGCGTTTGAGGAAGTTGACTCCGGCCTTGACCTCTCTTTTCATGGTGTCTGCAGAAACAGAAAGAAAAAAAAATCACTTAAGGTTGCCAGAAAATTTATCTTAGTGGGTTTTTTTTCCCCTAACAAGCCACAACTTCCCTCTACTGAGTTTTGTGGGGGAGCAGGAACTTCAGTTGGAGAGATAAAAACACTTCCCCGGGCAGTTGCCCCTGAGCCTTCTATTTTTATTACCTTCGGCGTTAAGCCTGTGTGACAGACGAGCCGGGCCATTTCACAGATGTTGACGTGGCTCGGTGTTGACAAAAGGCTACAGTTCATACGCAGGCAAACAAGATGCAAACCAGCGCTGCCATGTTGGGTAGTTTCGCATGCAAATCCCCTGAGCTCGCTGTGCTGTTTATCTTCTGATAGCATGTCTGTTTGGGTTGAGTGCCAGTGTCAGCCTGACCCGCGAGGACGAGCGCGTTCTACAGAGGCCAAGGCAATTCAGACTCTGCAGCTGAACCAGCAACCGCCGAGCGCGCCAACATCCTGCCGCGAGTAAAGTAGCGCCTTGAACTCTGAGGCGCAGACGCTCGTTTTGTCATTGTGGCTTCAAACACGGCAGCATTGCTTCAGTGTGTGTAATGTGTTGTGAAGGTGAAATTATTATTTGTCCTTGCAGATGCGGCCGCAGTAATGATGAACAAGTAAGAGCTGCTTTAAATCCCTTTTTAAAAAAAATAAAAAATGTTTTGCCGTTACATGAGAGCATCCGTGTGCCGTGATGTGTTTAGATGTTCAAACTGCAGCTTTGACATTCCAGCCGGTTATTAGTCTGCGAGGGAAACGGGGTCACATTGCACATATTCTTCTTCTTGTTTGAACTGTCACCTACACATCTTCCCCACCTAAAGGCTATACGACGCAGGCTGTCACCTTAAAAGACACATGCGTGAGCACAGGTTTTTCCAGTAGGTGCTCTTGTGTCTACATTTCTGTGAAGAATGTCTGAGAGGACCTAAAACGCCTCCTTAACACTGCGCTTGAAGAGGACACCGGAGGTTGAGCACCACTGAAAACAGATTCAGGGCTTTACATGGAAACATTTAGAGACATTAAAGCCACCGCTGAATGTCACCCTGTTACACCTCTTGGCCTTTATGACAACGAGTTAACATGATTTCAAGTAGCTGAATGTGTATTAAAGGAAAGAAGCAGCTCTGAATACTGCAGACAATAAGATGTGAAATAACTTTTAATTCATGTTTGTTACTAGATTGCTACAAAACTTGGTGATTTTTTAATTTCTCAGACAAGCTTCATTAATTATTGATTAATACAACCATTCTTTTTATCTTTGTAATTTACAGATGAATCAATCCGGCTATAAATTGTTAGAAAATAATAAAAACATCTATCGCAATTGCTGGTTTCTGTCCTCAAGTATCAAACAAATACAGAAATCCTCAGTTGACTATTCCAGAAGACCAACACATACGGCTAATATTCACTAAGAAGCTGAAACTACTGATTTTGTTATTTATGCTTACGAATTACTTTCGGTTTCTGCTGACTGTTCCTTTATAGTGTTTTCTTGAACAACAACAACTTTATCGTTTCACGACGACTCTGGTGGATTATTGGAAAACATACAGTTACAGAGATGCTGTTATTCTTTATTAATATCATCATCATCAGACTTAACGCTCCTTATCTTTTTGTACTTTTTGTCCTCGTGGCGACAACATGCAACCCTCCACGTACTCCTGCTGACTCGCTATGATGTCCTCTGCCAGGATGAGTCATGTTTTCTCGTATCATACAAATGAGCGATATCTCGCTACGAGAGGCACTAAGAGATATTTACATCACTTTGTTTACTCTGATTACTTCACCTGTATGCGTCCCTTCTTTGACCTAATCATCAGTTCAGTGCTGTGATGCCCTAAAAAAAGCTCCTCAGACTGCACGCCCGTGTTTATTGTGCGTCTGTTTGCCGAACGGTGAGCTGCTGCCATTATCTGCCGGCTCTGCTGATACCGTCGTGATTTCACATGTGAACAACAACAACTTGACCTGTTTACAGAGGCAGACTTGTCCCGACGGTTTATACTGCCGCGTCACTGGTAAACTCAAACATCTTAACTGCCACTATCTCTCTGTTAAGGCTGCACCAGCTGGATTCCTTCTTTTGTGTTGTTTTTTTTCCCCCCCTGATGTACTCGGTGTGTGCTTAGAACACCACGAGTCAACTTGTGTTCCTGAAACTGGGCCGACCAGCTCGGAGAGAGGGCTGCAAATGAGTTTGCAGACAGTTACAGGTGCAGATTTTAGACACGTTTGAGGTTTAGCTTTGTTGATGTTCACTTTGAGTGTACAACTAGATGCTCTCGAATGTTTTGTTTTGTCCCCAACTGACGGACTTTCAGTTTATGTTCATATATGAGGAAAGAAAACAGAAAGTTTTCACCTTTTAGGAAGCTAGAATTTAAAGCCTTGAACAGTTTTTCCCCCTTGAAAAGTACACAGTTAGTCATCGCAGCTCGAAAATAGGCAAAACAGCTCGATCAGGAGTTTGCAAATGCTTTGGTTTTGTCAACTTTCAGTTTAGGTTGTGACCAATGATCAGTTTGATGCCTTCAAATGTCTTGTTTTCTCCACAAGCAACAGATTTTCAGTTTACCGTCACAAAGAAGAAAAGAAACCAGAAAGTTTTCCCCTTTAAGCACCTAGAATCTGAGCATTTTGACTTATTTTTCTTTAAGAAAAATGGCAGATTATTTGATTAAACAAATGATTTAGTAGTGCACACCTGTTACTCTACTGTGTTCGCTCTAAAATAAGCAAAGCAGCTTGATCAGGAGTTTGTAACTGTTTTGGTTTTGTCAGTATTTAACTAACTTTTCTAGATTAATCGATCACTTGTTTGGTTTGAAAACGGTAAAACACTTCAATCAGTGTTTCCCCAAAGCCCAAGATGAGGCCTCGAAATGTCTTGAGGAGGAAAGAAACCAGATAATATCTACCTTTAAGAAGCTGGAATCAGAGACTATTTTTCCTTTTAAAAATGACAGATTATTGATTATTCGAACAGCTGAATATCACTTGAACAGATGACAACTAATCGATTAACGGTTGGATCTCTTGAACAGGTGTGTTAATCGGCAGCCACATACAGGTGAAGACTTCTGAAGCGTTTGTGGTTTGGTGTTGACATTCACTTGTGATTGTAACCAACAATTTATTACATTGTCCTGAATAACTGATCAGTTGATCAGCCTATAAAATATCAGAAAACGGATTTTTCAAAAGTTATTCCAAATAAATCATGACTTCACTGTCACAGTGGCATAAAGAAAGAAAGAAAAGAAAGAAAAACAACATCAAATTTAAGAAGTTAGAATGTGAGAATTTTTTCTTCTTCTTTAGATTCCGACTTAAACAGATTAATTATTACCCAAATAGTTGGTGAATCATTCAGTGGTTGAGAATTAACCGATGATCTGAGTAATGGGTCACAACGAAACTTATTTTTTTTGCGTCTGCGCCAAACAAAGGCGACACCACAAAGGTGATTTCAGGAGGGTAACACGTGTTGGTGCGCAGCTGCCCGCGGATCACCACCACAAAAACAACTACACCGAGAAAAAAAAGGTGAAAAATCACAGGATAGCACATCAGTTCTGAGCCTTCCTGCCTGTTTCTCAGTGCTGTGACAAAGGAAACATCATGCTGCATGCTGGAAATACACGCATTTGGGTTTTTTTTTTTCTGACAGCGCGGAAACCCCCCTGGTGGAAATTTAGAAAGTTAGTAGAAACCAGGATGTGATTCCGGCAGATAAGCTGCGTTTTTGAGGCGATTCGATGTGATTTTTTGGGGATATTTGTTCAAGTATTTTCAGTTTTTAAATGGTAGTAAAGGCGGAAAGTTAATATAAACGGAGCAAGTGTGACAATGTCGCCGAAAAACCGCGTGAAAAAACAACTAAATGTATCTCAACAAGGAAGATTCAGGTTAAATAAAACAAAGAGGGAAACTCACGTCTTAGTCGCGGCGTCCTGTGTGTGCTTCCCGGTGGTCGGTGCGTGTCCTCGGGCTTGTGTCGTGCTCGCTGCCTGGCTGTGTGTTGGAGTTATTATGGTCAGCACATGTTGCTTCCTTGTTCTCTGGTGCTGCTGCAACACAGACGTAACTTTACCGTCAGCGTGACTCACTTCCGTGACTCAGCGACGTGAACAAGCGCTGACTGGCTGCCCGAGACAGCCACGCCCCCGCCGGACCAAATATGGGCATTTGGAGGTAAACAGCTGAGAGATGGGGATTCACTGCTTTGTTCCTCCTGTTAAGACTGTGACACTGTGATGTGATGACATTTAAGGTAACACTACTGATTATTGTAACTTCCGTGCAACAGCAACATGACCTCCATCAGAATCAGCTGATGTTTGTTGTACAATAACTGATGGGAATTACTTTAGACCGATATTACATTTTTATTTCTCTATATATCCGGGGCATGCAGACGAACCAAAACAGACTTTTCTCTCTCA